TTCGGGTTTGGTTCCAACCCCTAATTATTGGTAACCAAAAATTTTACGCGATGCGATAATCGAAATATTAAATAAGAAATTAGGAAATTTCAAAATTTATTTATCTCTTTTATAAGTTATATACTTAAAATTTAAAATCGAAGAACATTGTATAATTCGAATAGAAAACTAAATTTAATTCGTTCGCATACGAATTAACAAATCTTGCAATTAATCTAATCCGAATAATAAACTAATCGATTAGTTTTTAAATAAGTAGTGAAAATCGAAACTTTACAAACGTTTATAAAAGATGGAAACGCTTATAAGCTTATAACTTACATTTTTAAAATTTATTTATTCCCAGATATATATAAAAAAATAACAACTTAAATGTCAAAAAAAGGGATATTTAAATCTTTTTAAATAAACAGAGACCTGTTGGCTCGGCCCGGTCTGGCTCGCTACACGGTTTTAATATACTCGGGTTGGGGCCTAAATTTTTTTAAATTAAAATCAAATTTTTTAAATCGTCTTTATTAGATATAAAAATTAAAACTAAATACGAGACGTGCAAATGGTACCACTGCAGGTTTCTGAAATAAACAAAGAAACCTTGATTAGTTATATTAGAATAAATTAATCACTTGTGGTCTTATCATCAGATGAGAACATTGTTACTGTACATTATTAAAAGAATTGTCTTAAAATTGAAAACTGGCTTTCATTTTTTTTTAAAAATATTATATATAACGATTTGAGACCCTTCTAAACTGTTTCTCTACTTTAAAATTCTCGAAATTTAAATCGATAAGGGTGACCATTATAGGCAAATTATATGTTATATATTACTGCCATACTATAGCAATGATTTTTGGTGCCTTCTCCAAAATATCCATCCATGCATCTACAGAAATAACCTCCTATCTTGTTGACGCAATCGCTTTTTATATCGCAATCAAAGGATCGAGGTTCGCTGCATTCATCGAAATCTGAAGAAAAATTTAAAAAAAAAATTAAATCCAGTCTCAAATTTTGTTATAATACAAATATACCCTGGCAGGTTTTGTTGAACCTCTCGTAGCCCTTCAAACACTCGCAAAACCCATTTTTGGCACACACACTATTGGCCAAATTTTGGCAGTCAATTTTGCTAAAGCAAATAATATTTGACTCCATCGAGGAATATCGTTAACAAAAAACTATTAATTCATGATACAACAATCATGTATTATATTATTTTAATTATTATAAATCATATACGAATGGAAATTATGAGTTCTATATCTAACATGACTTTTTAAAATTTGAAATAATTTAATATAATTTAAAAATATTTTTAGTCATTAAACATGTAAATAAATCTCTTAGATATATTATGTGAATGGGATTCTCCCAACAATATGTTAAACTATAATTTAAATAATTTATTGAGCTCGTTATATTTAAATCAATGGCTATACACCAATTCCGCACTAGCAATTTTCATGCCTATCTGGTTTTATATATATTTCTCATCTTGGATATAGAACAAGAGAACTTCCCAAATTAAACTAAGGGATGCCAAGGTTAGTCAGCGCCATTTTTTTCCAAATCACTAAAAGCTCGAAAATAGTTGTATATGGTATCTCCTTTCCTTTTTTCACTAGTCAGAATTGAAACCAGTTTTTGAAATTAAAATGTACACCTAACAAATTATAAATTAATTTATTTAATTATCATGCTTACTTGTTGATATGCTATTATTGGTAATGTTCTTAAATTACTTGTATAAAACATTATTTTTTACGCATAGGTTAATGAATGGTTTCCAGAAAACTCCGGAAAATTGGTCACTCTCTCTTATTTAAGAAAGAAAGAAGAAAAAAAAGAAGAATTTGCACTTCTAAAATTGACCCCTGAGAAAATTAACTATGTAGAAATAGAATATTCTCCCGGAAAATTTGCCCTCAAGGAATTTGAATCCACACCCCCAAATACCCCTCTCTTCCCTCCTTTAAAAAATCTTCATTTTCATATTTTATCAATTTAATGATTAAGAACAATTAAACCAGCAGTGACGAAATATTCATCAATTAACATAAATGTGATTATAAAGAATTATTTTTGACTTGACGAGGTCTTTAAATTTTTAGCCCTAACATAATTTTTTTAGGGTTGGATCAATTAAGATCCAGTATTCTCCTTTTTGATAAACCGATTGCATAATTTTTTTATTAAATTAGTTTGAACATCGTGCTCTTCTATGAACTGCAGTTAACTTCTTTCTTTTTCTTTATATTTAAAAGTTCTAGCAAAATATTTTATTGCTTAGTTAAAATAATTTATATTTTTGTACGAATTTACATTTGAATTTGCTACATGTTGAAATCTTTACTTAATAATAATATCTTTATAAAAAACGTATGAATACCCCTCGAAAATAATTTATAAAATAATTTAATTCGTTTCTCTATATTCCATGTTTTAATTATAATAAAATTTTTTTTCTTGATCGTCAATTTTTGAGGGTTCAATTGTATATGTGCCAATTCTCTTGGATTTCAATTTCCCAAAGAGACAATTTTTCGAGTTGACAATTTCACAGGGGCTTAATTTCCGGACAATTCTTTGATTACTGATAAGAATAAAATATATACGAATTTTTTACTCGTAAAAAGAAAGGTTTGCTGGTTATAAGGTATTCCTGAATTTAAGGATATTTCCATCATAATGCCCCTCCCCCACCCTTACTTTTTATTATAGAAAATAGTTTGTGCTGGTTTGGGCAGCTTTTAGTTCTATTTATAACTAATGTTTTCGAGTAATTCCGATTTAAAAATTTGGTGGGAAAAGATTAAAATATTTATTATTTTAAAAAATATTTTAAACGAAAAGTGACTTTTTCTCAAAATCAATTTGCATTTTTTAGAACAGTCTATCTTAGCCTACGGCTCGAATTTATAAAAAAAAATTTAAAAGAAGAAATCTCCAACTCAAATATTTACTTTGTTCTCAATTTTAATGTTGGGTGCCAAATTTAAATATTCAGAAATGTCTAAATTTTTTAATTTAATTATGGGCAACTATTTTATTCTATTTATAGCAAAATATGATATGAAAAATTAATAACAAAAATTTTCAAATTATTATTCTTTTTTTGTAAAAATAATCGAAGAATAGGAAAAAATATAACATTAAAATGTTTCGGGCCATGGGTCGGACCTCTATTAAATTGATAATCTTACCGACTGTCGGGCCCTGGAAGGCTCTAAGGGAATCATTTCAACGATCTCATATAATTATTCTTAATTTTTGGTATGGAATAACGTAAACTTGACCCCGCCATTTTTATAATTTTATAGAACGAGATTGATTTGTTATCGATTATTGATTTATGCAGTTTTTAGTTCAAATTGTGCTATTAACTTTTTTTTGATTTTTTCCTTCTAATTTAATAAAGTTGGAACAATAAGGTATATAATATTTTTGAATTTTTTTAAACTATGTAGGGAAGATTTATTCCATCTAAAGATGTTTTTAGAATATTTAAATTTGGATTATTATATCAGAAAATTCGTTTAAATTAAAAATTTTATCAAAACAAGAAGTTGACCCCACCATTTTGAATTTTTAAATGTTTATAGTTTTATATGTCTTGGTTTATACAGTTTTCAGTTTTATTTGTGAATACTCGCTTCTAAAAGTATCGTTCTTTTTTAAATCAGTCAAACGTTTTCTAATCCGATATCTGTCCGATTTCTTTTTGCACTTTATTATGTCGGGGAGGAAGGGGTGGGGACATTTAGGACATTTTTGTTTAATTTTCCAAAGGAAAATTTTAAATTCACATAAATATCAAGAGATATTTATATAACATATTGTTTTATAGGCTAATAAAAAATTCGTCTATACACCCCCCCCCCCCAACGTATACAATATATCACTATAAACAAAAGTTTGAAAGAAACAGTAATAAAATTTATAACTTTTAAAAATAACAACTGTAATTCAAACTATTAGGAAAGGAAGAAAGAAAGACAAAGGTCTATAATAAGTGGACCAATAAAATTTATAGAGGGAAACCCCCCCTCCCCTCCCCCCACATTTAGAAATAATCTTGGCTACAATTATTTTGTGACACATCTATATATATTTTAGAAATAATTGATAAAATGTTATAAGTTTTACGACTTTATCATTATTTGAAATCACTGATATTGATACTAGCATGTATGTATTGATTATTGAAACCATTTTTAATATATTTTATTTTTTAAAATAACTTATTCACTATTAGAATTGTCTTTTTTAAATTTAAAAAGGCCGCCAGATAAGGAATAGGGTTGATATATTAAATAATAGGTTAATAACTAGATATTCCTAAAATTGGTGGACAATTCTTCTCATTTTTATTTAACACCTTTAATATTATTCAGTTTGATGGGCATTAAAAAAATCTAGCGTAGCATTTTTCATTTAACAACACAAAGGGTTATAAGAGCTCATAACCGGTAGGCGTGCCCTGGGAAAGGGTGAAGGGTGAGGGTATAAAATTCCCCTCCCCCTTCAGAAATGTTATATTTTGTGAATATCATTTTAGACTAATGAAAAATATCCTCTTTAGCTACCTCCCTACCTCCTCTTCCTCAAAAATATATGCATATATCTCAAACAATTATTTTTGAAAGTAAGAATGTAAAAGTTATTAATTATATAAACTAAAACTATAGAGTATATTTTCATTTAGTCTATTTTTTGTTTTTTGATAACACATTTTGCTAACCAATTTCCTACATTTTAATAATGATAATAAGTTGTTTTTATTAAAATTAACCTCCTATTCTATAAAATATTCTAGCTATCTGGCTAAAGAAACTAGACCGAAGGCAGGGCAAAAGCGGGCAGAAAGCCTTCTAAAAAATCTGTGGGCGAGTCCCATCATAAATTTATTAATTATCTCTTAGAAAAATCCTGGCTAAGCCTCTGTAAGACCTTATAGAACGAAGGATGAAGAAAATCTTTTATTACCAAAAAGTTGGGATTTAGCATAAAACTATTATTTTCATTACGTTCATAAAAAATATGAAAAAGCGACACCATAAGGATAAAGAAAATCAGGAAGAAATCTATTGTATATGTAGATCTAGTGACTCTAGTCGTTTTATGATGTAAATTATATATCTTTTATATTTATTTATCACTAATTTAATTTAAAGCTGTTGTGATAAGTGCAATGAATGGTACCATGGAGACTGTATAAATATAACCCAGAGTGAGGCTAACGAGATTGAACAGTTTTATTGCAGGGCTTGTTTAGGTAAAATAAATTAGCATTTTTGTAATTATATTAATTTAGAAAGCCACCCTACTCTTACTATTATATATAGCAAGAAGAAAATTGAAAAGAAAAAGGATAATGAAAAAGAAAAGAATATTATTGAGGTTTTATAGTTATTTATATATCATCATTTTTAATTGTCATCAGATTGATAAATATCATCTTATATTATTTATATCCTTAACCCTGCATATGCCTAATTTGTCCTAACTGCTAATGCAGGGTTATTTAGTTAAATATAGCTTATATAAATGCTCTATATTTATGAAAAAGAAATATAGAAATCCAAAAACCTTACATAAATGTGGTCAATGCAGAGCATGTCTTTGTTCTACTGATTGTGGGAAATGTGATGTCTGCAAAGTAACAAAAAATTCGAAATATCTTATTATAAGATTTATATATATCTCAGTTATTAAAAGATACTTTTCAAAGATATCTAGGTACACATATATAGTCTAAATATGTATATAGATATACAATTACAAGTGGCATTTTTATTATAATCTTGTGATATGTGCATAAATCCAAAATTAAACAATCGTTAAAACTCAGAGAATTGAATCATACAATATTTTATTATATTTAATATCTTATATATACATAAAATATAATTATAATTTTTAAAAATATTGATTTTTTTTCAACAAAATTTAAATGTTTTATAATTTAAAATGGTATATGTTGATGTGTACTGAATTAAAATTAATTAATTAAAAAGTTGTTTATTTCAGATGAAATTAATTATTAATTTATTACAAAAATTATAGAAGAATTTATAAAATGTTTCTTGTAAAAAATTAAAAAGTACAAATAATACAAGATTTTTTAACTAAAATTTTGATCATTGATATAGATATATAAAATTACAATCATTCACATAAATATATAATACTCATCTATAAATAATATAAAAATAATACTTTATAGGTATGGCTTGAGTATATATATTTTTTTTCATTTTTTTGGCCTGGCCAATATACCCAAGCTGGGCTTAATGCCAGGCCTGCAGACCTCTGGTTTATGTTAATATTTTACAATTCTTGTATATATTTTTTTTATTACTTAATGGTTTATTATTTGTTTATAAATATATAAAACTAAAAACGTTAAAAATGAAAAATGATTAAAAAAATATACTGTGTTTAAAAAAATATATAAGCAAAGCATAATTTTGTTCTTAAAAATGTACCTAATATTATTACTATTAATAAAATTTATATCATCTACTGCACTGTAAACTCTTGTATCTCATATTTTGAAAAATATTCAGGAGAGATTACAAAAATTATGTTAATTGCTATTTATTAGTATCTAGTTGTATGAGTATAAAAAGGAAACTTATAAACTTTCATATAACTCAGAATTATAATCTATTTATTTCTGCTAGTTTTTTTCTCAAAAATATGCTAGTTTTTTTCTCAAAAATATGCTAGTTTTTTTCTCAAAAATATGCTAGTTTTTTTTCCAAGAATATGCTTCCCTAGTCTCAACAAATTTTCTACAGGAGCACTTGATGTAAATATAGAGATAATGAATCATATATATAAATTTTTAACATATCTAAACATTACTCATATTGCTTTTCTCACTTATTTTTGCAAAAATGTAACTAGTCTTATTATAACAACATTGCTATTTATCATATTACTAATTAATTTTTAAAAACACATTTCTCTTGTTATTTAGAATAAGAGCATATGGTATATGATAGCGATATTCCTGAATAACTCATGCAAGGAAACAATTTAAAATATATGTCAGATATAAGGGTTTGCAAAGCAGCTTATATGTGAATTTGGGATGTCTGCATGATTGTCTCGATATATATATGAAAGAAAGAAATATATAAGAGCCCTAAATGACTTCTGATTCCGCTAATCCGATTAAACTCTTAGAAGAAATGGGGTCAGATTCAAAAAGAGAATAATATTACATGTCATAATATTTTGCAGTTCATCATTTTGATAGAACATTGCTTAAAAAAATCTATGAAATTTTTGGAATTTTTTTACACATAAACTCGGATAAGAATGAGCTACGGGGGGGGCACATATGCTATTATATTTGGATCCCAGAAGGATGCCATGACCATTTTGCCTCAAAAGGGGAAAAATTGTCAATTAAGATCATATTTTCTTAAGTAACTCTTGTGTTACTAATCGGTGAAAATGACTTTAAATAAAAATTGGAATATTAGAGTTTCCAAAAATGGTTGTTGAAATTACATCCAAATCCTCTATAATGTGCACAAGAGGATTCATTTTAATTTTACATTATAATAAATCAATTTTCTGAAATCTGTATTTTAAATTTATAAAATTATTTTTATAAAAAAATAAATTGTAACTTTGTTAAACTGATCGATTTAGCCGATTTTAAATTAAGATTGTAGCCAAAATAAAGATTTTGTTAATAAGATATCCAAACCCTATCTGCTATCATTAGCAAAATATCCAGGCTTGCGTAATATTTTTTGGTTAAAATATTAATTAGCCATTTTTAAAAATTGAGCCCTTTAACAATACTAGTTGGTCAATGTTTATTTATTCGAAACTATCTCATTTATTAATAAATAAATATTATTAAATTTATATGACTAAGGTTTGTGTTTTAGATGATGAATATTTAAAAATTAAAAAAAATAATATGATTTATAAATAAATGTAATAGAGTGATAGATTATCGAGCCAGATATTAATTATTATTATAATCTATTGGATATGTAAAATATATTTTTAAAATTCTAATTTATGCTATCTCCTAATTTTTTTTTAAAAAAATAATGTGAAAAGTTTTAAAACTTTAAAAGAAATTTTAAAATTTTAATGAAATCGTATGTTAAATCTTTAAAAAAAATTTAGAAATTATATTTTGGACATGTTTTTATTTTTATATTAACGAAAAAGCTTATCTCTTTTTTTCGATAAATTTTAAAAAGATTATGAATAATTTTTCGATATTTTGGACGCAGTCTTATGAAACAATTTATTCAATAAATGTTTTAAAATTTTTCGTATTTTTTTAAAAAAGGTATTGGAGATAGTCCAAATTAGAATTTAAAAAAAGATATCCCACATATCCAATATAAATTATTATAAGTTTAAAAACTTTGAATGATATTAATTAGAGATTTTCTGTACCTAATTTTTTCATAGCTTCATCTAATACCGTAACTTATAATTAGAAAATATTTTTCTCCTATTATATACTTAGAGTGTAAATTTAATTCAATAAATATATAATTAAGTTTATTAGCTGGGAAGCCTGAACGAGAAAATCGAAATGAAATATTCCTAATCAATTAGTATTCGATTTTTAAAAAACTATTCCTCCCGTCAAAGATGTTTTTCTAAAACGTTTCTTCCTATCGAGACACGCGATTTTTTAGTCATATTTTCTGCTTATAAAAATATACACACCACGAGATGTATTATTATTTCATCTCCATCTGATTAGCATAGTCTTGCAATTTTATTAATTGTTTTTAATTAGTTTTGGGAAAATTTTAAACAAAAGTTATTATCTCAATTAAAATAAAATCAATAACTCAAAACAAAAGTGCCAGGAAATATAAAATATTTTATTACCGGGGGCTCTAATTTTTTAAAAAAATTAATTATTGTTAAAAATCACCTGTAGACGGATCAAATTTAATTAAAATAGTTAATATTAAAATTCAAACTTTATTAATAAATTTCTCAAATATAAATTAATTTAGAAGTTAAATTATATAAAAAAAATAGTGAACTACAATATTCGAATCAATAAAAAAAACCTATTTACATATTAATAAACATAAAATTTTTTAAATTATAATAATTTTACATCAACATAAAAATGTTAATTTACATGTCTACTGCAACTAAAATGATTTTTTTATCAAAATATTAATTTAACAGACAATATCTATTCAAATTTTAATTTTATATAAAAAAACTTTTCATCCATCAAATATTTGCAATTTATACACAAGTTATAATTTCAACTTATAACACTCCTTCCCTTTGAAGGAATGTTCATACGGCCTCGGGCTCGTGGCTGGATTATCTCCCAGATTGTTCCTCAGCATTTCGCAAGTAACAAATTATTGTTCACTGCTTTTGCTGGAAACGTCTTTATGGTCCTCTTGATCCTTGGCATTCGTCTCTTCTGTACGTTCTTTAGTTTACATTCTTACTTCGTTTACAATCTCTTCGTATAATCGGGCTGCTTCTTCTCTCGCCAATTATAACTTATTTTTGGGTTCCCTAGAATCATCTACCTTCTTAATTTTTATCTTCAATATCTTGCCTACTCTTATATATTCGTTAATTTTCGAATCGAATATTAGTTTTTAATGCAAAAAATGAATATGAAATATATGCTACCTCCTGATTTTATATAAACTTTCCCTATTTTTTAAAAAAATTTATTTTGTAATTGTGATTTTTCTATTCGTGCAAAACAAATGGACGAATTGGAAGGAAATACGACATTAATATTATTTAGGACTACATGCTCTGCTTATATATTTTTTTGGCATTTTATGGATCTCGGTTTTGGCTTGTGGGGAGAGCTAACTCATTTTTATTAAAGGAGCTTTAACAACTCGGCTGAGTAATAATATTCTATATCCATTTTTAAATAAAGGATTATATTAATTTATTATTAATTTAGAAGAATACACTAGTTGAAGAATTAATTATTTATAAAAAAAATGTAAACATAGAACATTATAATACTCAGCCGGCGAACTCTAGTAAATATATTTAAAAAACAATTTAAAATTGAATAAAAATTAGCTAATACCTAATTCTTCCAGATGCTAATATCAGCACTATATCCAATGCACCTTTTATTAATATCGGTGCAATCATGTATATATATATATATACTTATTAAACTTATTTTATAAAAAGTTGTTTTCTAGTATCTATATTTTATTACAAATAATTGAAAGGATATGCTAAAAAATGGAGGCCCTAACAAGTTGCGACGCTGTCGGGAAAGACGATGCACAAATATCAAACGAACATCTAAAGAAGTTTTTTTTTATTAATTTTCTGACAATTTAGTTATCATATGTAGAAGTTACCATTTTTTAGGCCCACCCCCATTCCTCACCCGGTTTAAAAATTTTTATTTTAAAAGCCCCATTCGGATTTTTAAAAAGTTTCATAAAGGAAGTCAAAAATATGAGAAACGAATGAATCTTGTAAATTATCCATTATTGTGATTTGTCAACTCGCTTACATAAATTTTTATTTTTAGAACCCAAATATGTATTTTTTTTAAAAAAAATCCATATCATTTACGATTTTGTGTGGACACCATTTTAAATTACCTGTTTATGTTGAAATTGAAATAATAAGGGGGAAATATTTCTAAGATGACCCATCATGCGATGGCGTTTTTAGCATATTTGGTGAGGAGGTCAACATTTTAAATACGATTTTGACAGGGGAGGAGCAATGGTCAAGATAAGGAGGTGTAGTCGTCATTGTAGTGATAGTCACATTTTGGAGGGTCTCAATAATAATATTTTTTTTAAAAAAAATATAAAACATTAAAATGATCATATTTTACAGGATTTACATTCCATTAAAAGAAAATACAAAACGTTCGATTTGCAAAAGTTTTCTCACAACAATCTTTTAAAATCAAGTTACATTTTTTTTATATTTTTCTCTGTGGCATCAAGGGTTTTAAAATAGCTACCCTTAAAATTAAATTACTAGCATCCATTTTTTATATAATTGAGACGGAATGTCCAATCTTTTGATATTTTGCCTTCGGTTCCAGCTCATCTTAATATAGAAAATGATAAAAGTTCGTTTTTCGCATTACTGTGATTTGAGCAAAGCGTTTTTTTTGAGCTCACCTAAATAATTAAGCTTGATGCCGCCACTAGGGTTAAATGATTTCACAAATTTTGGAATTATATATAATCTCTGATATAAATTTTAAGTCTCAAATTCCTCCACCAACTTTCAGACCATCTCTCTTCGAGACAATAAAATCAACGTAACGTCCACGTGTTCCGAAGTTTTAGAAGAGGAAATAATAATCGACCCCGTTCTAGAGAATGCCTCCATCATTCACAACAATAATAATAATCAAACCGCTAATCTGAACAATTCTAGCCTCCGTGCATCAAATTTAATCGAGTCTGAAAATGACAAAAATGACAGTCACGCCTTTAAAACTGTCAGTTCCGAAACATTCTACGAAAGGGACGAACACAATTCCAACAAGTTTCGCCGTTTACTATTTTTTTTATTTCAATAATTGGATGGTTTAAAGAAATAAAGTAATTGTAATGTGTTAGGCAGTAAATCGTCCAAGGTCAGTATCAAATATTATCTAGGAATTTTTTAAAATCCGATCTTTCTTATTTTTAATGTCTTAACATTTTATTTATTTATTATGTTGTGTCTTTAAATTTTGCTCAGGAAGTTTCGAAATGTGAGTATTAGGTATTAATTAAAGCTCTGCCTATCTACAAAAATTTCATTGATCCGATAAAATATTTTTGATATTATACATAACCGATGTTATTATTTAAGCTAATTTTTATATACCTTCTATCTTTGAAATATGCAGAGTTGTTAAAGTATCTAGATATAAAAATTTAGTATCTGTATCTAGATAGATTTTTTAGAAAGGTATCTGTATCTAGATATTTTTTAGAGGTATCTGTATCTGTTTTAGATACTTTTTATGATACATTTTATATACCCCTTTTTTTATTATAAATAAAAATATTTGACTGTAAATTTTATTTTATTTCATATGAGCTTATGAAATAAATAAATATATATATATATATATATATTATATATATATATATTTATTAATACTATAATAAAGAATTATATATACATAAAATATTAAAACTTATATATAAAAAATATATGTAAATATTCATTAATTTAAATATTATGTCCGAGTTTATCAATAAACCATACAAATTTTCAGAGTTGTTAAAAGATACTTTTTAAACGAATCTAGATACAGATACATAGTCTCAAAAGTTATCTAGATACAGATACAGCGTCTAAAAAGTTTTCAAGATACAGATACAATTTTTAAATGTATCTGTATACAGATACATTTTTTATTATGCTCTTATAGGTTTGCATAAACCTAAATTAATATTATATTGTGAAAATTCATGAAATGAGCTAAAAAATTTATTGACGCGATATAACATTTATCAGAATATAACTAAAATAATGATTTTAATATAATATATGGTTAAATAATTATAAATAATTATTAGATTTCAGTAATAAAATATTTTCAAAATTTTGATTATTTAGGCATCCTCGTTTATCTGTAAAGACATTTTTAGCAACACTAAATAATCTTTCCACAGGGGCGCTTGAAGGAATTGTAGTGTTATATTTAATAAATAACAATTTTATATCAGAGTATTCTTTAAAAATGCTAAAATCTCTACATTCATTTTTGAAAAGATTATTTAAAATTTGTTGATTATCAAAATTTAAATCATTATTAGAAATTATATCTGCTGTAGGGTACTGAAAAAAATCTGAAATTAAATTATTTGTTTTTTTTGGCAGGTTATTTGCTTGCAGTCAGTTGATGACTTTGATAATTCACCAGCTAATCTTTGTATCAATTGTTTTTTTTATTAAGATTTTCTTCCATTTGCAACCATGTCCAATCAAGTTTAAAAAAGGGTGGAGCATGGTTGCTATAATATTATCATCTTCAAATAAGGTCACAATAAACCTAGAATTATTAAATATTTTTAATTTATTATATTAATTTACCTATCCTCAATCCCTTTAAGTAAGGCATCTAAGAGTGGTAAACAGAATCTCAGGTTCATTTCTTTAAAATTCTTTAATTTGATAATAAGTTGTGAAATAGTTGCACAGTAATAAGCTGTGTACATATACTTATCTCCCTGCAAAATATCAAGGGAATTAGCTATTGGCTTCATTAGCTAATTTAAAATAATGCTATATATATAAATATTATTTATAACTTACTAAACAATATTCATGAATAAAATCACATTCATTAGGTAAAAACCTAGGTAGTTTTATTCCATCACATATCTTGTCCACTTTGTCAGATTTAGCTTTTATAATTTCTGACATTAATTGTAAGGCATTATAGGTGGAGTTCCATCTTGTTATATTAGGACATATAAAATAACGACCAATATATTCCTTAATAATCTCAGATGAAATAGGAGACTTATTTTGCCTATTCCATATATTTTGGCATTTATGTAGTGTTGTGCTATATATCTAATGAAGAAAATATTACTTATTTAATTAAAATTAGTTTTACCCTCTGTTATTGTTTACACTGCATGGCTCTATTGGCATCCACAGTGGCTATAAGATTCAATGTGTGACTGGCACAACATTGGTGATGAGGTTAACTAAATGATTCTGATAATTCAGAACCTCTGAAGTATTATAAAGATTTGATATAGAAATTGTCACAACTGCTTCATCTTCCAAATCATCAATTGATTGACTTGTAATATTTTCAATTGGCTGGAAAACTCTTTAATAAATTAAGTAATCAATCATATATTATGTTTATATTTATTTATAATAAAATAAACCTAAAACATTTTATAAAATTTTTGGCATTATCTGTAATGGTCTTTGAAATTTTATTTTGAATGCAATAATCCTTAGCTATATCTTGTAAATTTTTTGCTATTTTATCATATGTATGACTACCAGTCATTCTTTTACAAGCCAACACTATATTTTTTCTTTCCAAACTTATTGGATTTATATAGTGAGCGGTTACTCCTATGTATGAACTAAAAATTAAAATTTCTTAATATTGCTGAAATAATTTATTCTTAATTAATTATTATACAAATTTAAATGTTAGCTATACCGGCGATAGGCCCTCCAACAATCTGCTGTTGTGCATATTAATGATGGTTCTATAAGACTTTTAATTATTTCTTTCTTTTCATTTTACCATCTTTCGGAAATTCTACCAACAACTGTCTGTCGGCAAATTATATTTTTGTGTGGAGCCAAAGTGTTGATCATTTTTTTAAAAGAAGGATTTTCAACAATTGAAAATGGCTGCATGCCATCTATAATAAAAGCAATAATTAAATCATCTAAAGTGCCTTGAGTTAAAGTCAAAGGTCTTTTAGCAAAAATATTATTGGAGGATGAGCCTTGTCCAATATTTTCTTTGGTAGTTTTATTTTCCTTCCCCTTTTTTATTTTTGTTAACAAGGTTGGATGTTTTCTCTTAAAATTTAAATTAGAATTTTAAATATATAATATCTATACCCTTATGTGCTTCACGATATTGCACGTTGAAGTCATACTGACGGATATTTTTGTATTTTTAGGTAGACACGGCAAACATTTTACCATCAGAGAATTGTTTTCTTTGTTTTAAGATATTATAATATTCTCTAGGTAGACACGGCAAACATTTTACCATCAGAGAATTGTTTTCTTTGTTTTGAGATATTATTTTAAAATATGCTCTATTAATTGATACAAAAATATCCGTCAGTATGACTTCAACGTGCAATATCGTGAAGCACATAAGGGTATAGATATTATATATTTAAAATTCTAATTTAAATTTTAAGAGAAAACATCCAACCTTGTTAACAAAAATAAAAAAGGGAAAGGAAAATAAAACTACCAAAGAAAATATTGGGCAAGGCTCATTCTCCAATAATATTTTTGCTAAAAGACCTTTGACTTTAACTCAAGGCACTTTAGATGATTTAATTATTGCTTGTATTATAGATGGCATGCAGCCATTTTCAATTGTTGAAAATCCTTCTTTTAAAAAAATGATCAAAACTTTGGCTCCACACAAAAATATAATTTGCCGACAGACAGTTGTTGGTAGAATTTCCCAAAGATGGGAAAATGAAAAGAAAGGAATAATTAAAAGTCTTATAGAACCATCATTAATATGCACAACAGCAGATTGTTGGAGTGCCTATCGCCGGTATAGCTAACATTTAAATTTGTATAATAATTAATTAAGAATAAATTATTTCAGCAATTTTAAGAAATTTTAATTTTTAGTTCATACATAAGAGTAACCGCTCACTATATAAATCCAATAAGTTTGGAAAAAAAAAATATAGCGTTGTCTTGTAAAAGAATGACTGGTAGTCATACATATGATAAAATAGCAAAAAATTTACAAGATATAGCTAAGGATTATTGCATTCAAAATAAAATTTCTAAGACCATTACAGATAATGCCAAAAATTTTATAAAATGTTTTAGGTTTATTTTATAAACATAATATATGATTGATTACTTAATTTATTAAAGAGTTTTCAAGCCAATTGAAAATAATACAAGTGAATCAATTGATGATTTGGAAGATGAAGCAGTTGTGCCAATTTCTATATCAAATCTTTATAATACTGCACAGGATTCTGAATTATCAGAATCATTTAGTTTACCCATCACCAATGTTGTGCCAGTCACACATTGCTTATAGCCACTGTGGATGCCAATAGAGCCATGCAGTGTAAACAATATCAGAGGGTAAAACTAATTTTAATTAAATAAGTAAACAACACTACATAAATGCCAAATATATGGAATAGGCAAAATAAGTCTCCTATTTCATCTGAGATTATTAAGGAATATATTGGTCGCTATTTTATATGTCCTAATATAACTAGATGGAACTCCACCTATAATGCCTGTCAGAAATTATAAAAGCTAAATCTGACAAAGTGGACAAGATATGTGATGGAATAAAACTACCTAGGTTTTTACCTAATGAATGTGATTTTATTCATGAATATTGTTTAGTAAGTTATAAATAATATTTATATATATAGCATTATTTTAAATTAGCTAATGAAGCCAATAGCTAATTCCCTTGATATTTTGCAGGGAGATAAGTATATGTACACAGCTTATTACTGTGCAACTATTTCACAACTTATTATCAAATTAAAGATTTTTAAAGAAATGAACCTGAGATTCTGTTTACCACTCTTAGATGCCTTACTTAAAGGGATTGAGGATAGGTAAATTAATATAATAAATTAAAAATATTTAAAAATTCTAGGTTTATTGTGACCTTATTTGAAGATGATAATATTATAGCAACCATGCTCCACCCTTTTTTTAAACTTGATTGGACATGGTTGCAAATGGAAGAAAATCTTAATAAAAGAAAACAATTGATACAAAGATTAGCTGGTGAATTATCAAAGTCATCAACTGACTGGAAGCAAATAACCTGCAAAAAAAACAAATAATTTAATTTCTGATTTTTTTCAGTACCCTACAGCAGATATAATTTCTAATAATGATTTAAATTTTGATAATCAACAAATTTTAAATAATTTTTTCAAAAATGAATGTAGAGTTTTTAGCATTTTTAAAGAATACCCTGATATAAAATTGTTATTTATTAAATATAACACTACAATTCCTTCAAGCGCCCCTGTGGAAAGACTATTTAGATTGCTAAAAATGTCTTTACAGATAAACGAGGATGCCTAAATGATCAAAATTTTGAAAATATACTGAAATCTAATCATTACTTTAGTTATATTCTGATAAATGTTATATCGCGTCAATAAATTTTTTACCTCATTTCATGAATTTTCACAATATAATATTAATTTAGGTTTATGCAAACCTATAAGAGCATAATAAAAATGTATCTTGATAACTTTCTAGACGCTGTATCTGTATCTAGATAACTTTTGAGACTATGTATCTGTATCTAGATCCATTTAAAAAGTATCTTTTAACAACTCTGAAAATTTGTATGGTTTATTGATAAACTCGGACATAATATTTAAATTAATAAATATTTATATATATATTTTATATAGAGGTTTTAATATTATATGTATATATAATTCTTTATTATAGTATTAATAAATATTAATATATAATATATATTTATTTATTTCATAAGCTCATATGAAATAAATTTTACAAAATATTTTTATTTATAATAAAAAAAGGGGTATATAAAATGTATCTTAAAGGTATCTAAAAACAGATATAATACCTCTAAAAAAATATCTAGATACTGATATAGATATCTTTCTAAAAAATCTATATAGATACAAGTATCTAGATACTTTAACAACTCTGATAATTTGAGCCGATTTTTAAAAACCGCTAACAATATTTTATCCAGAAAAATATTATGCAAGCCTGAAGATTTTGCTCATAGATGGTACAAAGGTTTTCACATTTATTAAGAAAATCTCGAGACATAGTATTTCTCTGGCTAAAATATTGAGTTCGCCATTTTAAAAACTGACTCACATCGAGCCGTTTAGCAACACTACTTGAAATGATATTTTATATATTGTATTTTTTTTTAAAAAAAATGTATTTTTATATTAATATCAAAAATTAAAGTTTTACCACAGATAAAAAAATTAAGCATCTTTCTAAATATCCTTATTTATAAATTACATAACAACGAATTGAAAGTATTTGTGTCTTTTTAAATTTTAGTAAACATACTAACAATTTTAATATTGTTTCTTTAGATACAGATATTCAAAATACTTTTTCAAAAAGGCTGATAAAAAATATTGGCATATAATGCTCAACCCTGAACTGTATAATATTGATACTGAAATGATGCATCCCTCCCAATTTTTCAAATGAGTAATTTAACCATATAAAAGTATTATTGCTCCAAAAAATAAAAGTTTGCCTATCCGATCCCCTTCAGCCGATATCAAAAATTCATCTCGATATTCGAACTCATCGTCTCCATTATCCGATCGAAAGGTTATTGTCAAAAGCCAGTCAAGTCCTGAAGATGATACATCTCAAGATCCAGATTTTGAAAGAGTTGATTTAAAAAAATTTATTTTTAACTTTATTCTAATTAATAAGACAGTGAGTAACAATTATTGCACACTTTAATTAATGATAATAAAAATAAAATATGCCAGAGAAAGGTTCTGAAAGTTATAGTCCGAAGGTTGTTATGTTTTAGATGCCAGCAAGGCATTGAATCAAGATAGTGTTGACCTGACAATGAAAAATTGAGAAATTAAATAATTGTATTCATTAACAGCTAAAATTTAAGGAAATTTAATAGCAGTAAATAAGTCCGTATATTTTTTAGAAGAGGTTTTCTGAAGGCTTAGTTATATATCACTATCATTCGAAGGATCAGAAAATATAATGTACGGAGCTAGCTTTAAATACGTGTATATAAGTACATATTTTTATATCAGTTCTATATATATAAGAATAGCCATCAAATTATTTAACGAATTTGGGATATAAAATTTAGTTGTCACCTTGACCAAGTAATGTTGCTGATATAAATAGTTGAGAATGAATGTTCATTCTTCCAAGTTCTTCCATCCAAACTTCCGAGTATTATATGACTTGAGTTAGATCACCATTAGTTAGTTATTAAGGAGGATTGAATCTTTTTAAAATATTTTTTAAAGAAAACAAGGTTTGTATAATAATCATTACCCTCATTTTAGGCCTTATTCATTCATTCATTAGTCTACTAAGTATTTCCATGAGTCTTAGCATTTAGATTCGAAAAGTGTTTCTTCCCATTATTTGAGCATTGGAAGAGTTTAACCCATCAATGTAGCTTGAGTAAAGCAGTTAAGACCTGCCACGTTTGGGATGACCATGAACATGAGTCGGATTATGGTTATTTGTTCTTTATTATGTGACCAAGAATTCTGAGGATACGCCTTTACTAAGAGACCGTCTATGGGTTCGTTTGCTCACAAAGTATTGATTTGCAATTTGTTATTTCTTTTCCAAGCAGATTGTTTGGTAAGAATGCTCCTGAAATTTTAAAATAATTTGTTAAGTTTAAATGTTGTTAAACGGCGATTTGAGCCCATTTTCAAAAACGGCTAAATCAATATATATCCAAAAAATACTACGCAAGCCTGAAGATTTTGCTCATATATGGCACAAAGGTTTGCACACTATTAGTGAAATTTAGAGGCTTATGAAATATTTATCTGGCTAATATATTGAGTTCGATTTTTTTAAAAATTAGCCCAAATCGAGTCGTTTAACAACACCAGTTAAGATTATAAAAAAATTAGTGCACCAAGATGAAAAGTCGAAAACTAAGTTTTCTATTTGGAATTGTATTCTTGTTTTTTATAGAATAATGATAGTCATTGGAACTATTGTTTATAATATGTTTCTTCCATCTAGCTTATTTCTATGCTCTTTTGTGAGAAGGAAATATCGCCGGTAATAATATTTTCTGTTTCAACTTGATAAATTCTCATTTCTGGTGTCATTTTTTGAAATGTTGTAAAAACTAATTTAATGCACGGACATAATCATTATAAAAGCTCATTGAACTCACTAGCTTCTAAGTATAATAGTTTTTAACAGTAGTAAAAAAACTGTATTTTATGAAATAGTCTTCAAGAAATGTAAAAAATTGGAGTATTATTAACAAAACCAATCATCATTATTCTAAAATTATTTTACGTATTGTAAAAAGGCTTGGAATTAAATTCTCGATTTTATAAAAAAATGACACCAGAAATAAGAATCTATCAAATTGTAACCATAGGATATTATTTCGAATAAATGTCTCCATTTTGTAAAAGGAGCAGAGCATTTCAATACCCAGATGAGTTATTTAAAAACAGCAGTTTGCATGAAACATTTGAATTATATATGTCAAACTGATTACAAAAACTTAGTTTTCGATTTTTCCATTTACTGCACAATTTTTTAAGATCTTGTAGTAGAGTTAATCAAACCTTCCCAGGTGGCGTCCTAGTACTCCAGTTAGACTTGTGGATCAATGAAAAAGTTACCAATAATTTCGGTATATTTCAGGCCTGGCTATACGGGATGGCACTCCTTCCAAGGACACGTTTCTCTTGTCTAATTTATTTATTAACATTTCTAGGGCGATCTTAAAACTTTCAAAAAGGGTGGGTTTTAAAATAGCTTATGTATTTTGATTGACTATTCAAATATTCGCGAAAAAAGAACTAATTTAATTTTTATGAGTACTTTTTGAGATATCACTGATTTTTTCTTTTTTTATAATTTGTATTGATTATTTTTATGTCTAACTAATTTTTTATTGTAGAAGATAAATTTGGATCTCAGGTGGTATTTTTAACGATTTGGCTACTTCTATCATTAACTCCTAAAAACTTTATATTATTGGATCAAATTGAAAAAAAAATAGTTATCATGTTGGATAGATTAATGAGTGTTTATTTAGTAATTTTTTTTATTAAGATAATATTATCTAATTTGGGAAAACAACACATTTTTTCTAGAAGCAAGGATAAGCTAATAATTTCAAAATCTAGCAATTTTCATGAAATATATTATTTATGAAGTGTTTTTGTTGTTGCGCTATTTACTAATCTTAGGAAATTCCCACGAAAAGTCTAAAACAGGAGGTCAAGAAAAAAACGAAATCCAATTTATTTTCGGTAATTAATAATTATCAATTAATATTTAGGCATACCAATTATTTTTTATTGATATTTACGAAATATATAAATTAAAAAAACAATATGTTATTTATTTTAACTCCTTTAAACTACAAATATAGTTTAAAATCTTTTTTTAAATTCACGCCTTAACATTCTTTTAAGAATTTTGTGATTATACTTAATGAAGTAAAATCGCTCAATTTGAACTGATTACGGCTAACTCAATATTTTAACCAGAAAAATATTGCTTAGTCTCGAGATTTAAATAATAGATATCCAGTCAATTGTGCCATCTATGAACAATATATTCAGGATTGCCTAATATTTTTCTAGTATAATACTGATTTGGTCGTTTTTAAAAATCGGCTCAAATCGAGCGATTTTGCATAAATTCTATAATGAGTTTGGTAATAGAGTGATTTTAAAACTTTACATTGAACCAGATCTTACATATTTTTTATTAACTTTAAATTATTTTATGAGAGTCAATTATAGATCATCGGCTTCAAATTTTAGAGATCTGCAATGAGTGTGGTTTAGACTAAGAACTTGCCTTCCAGTGATTTTAAAAGAAATCGCCAACCCCTCCATAATTTTTTTACCGCCCGCCCATTATTTTAAAAAATTTAGCTTGTCCGCCTTTCCATGGTTTAAAAAAAATTAAAGCCATCCAACTTTGATATATTTAATTTATCCCCTCATATTTGTAAAATATAAATTTTAAATAAAAATAAGCCATCACCAACCACTTAAAATATTTCAAACCTGCTCGCCCGTTATTTAATTTTATAGCCATGGGAAAAATGTGGCAAACCCCTGCAAGTTTAAATTTTTGACCTTTAGGTAATCCAATAAATTAAAATGAAATTAAAAGTATTTAATTATGCGAAATTGAGAAAATGATTAACGAATAAAATTAGTTGGTCTAGGGTATATTGGTACATTTTCAAACATGAAGAATGTAAATATTTTTTAGTATCCTTTTTATTTTTTATTCGTAAGAATATTTGAAAAAATAATTAGTATTACAGTGAATTAAGCGTTTGCGATTTGGCATACTTTTTAATTTAAAAAAATATATAACGGATTCCGTGTTTAAATTGAGGTCGCCTTTTTTTTATTAGTATCGTCGTTTCAAAATTAGATAAATTATACCTGATATTAAGCACTTAGCCTTATGATTTATATACATAATAGTTATATATATACAAAAGCTTGGTTCTCTCAGAATAAGCCCATCACACTGGGTTAAAATAAATGACAGGAAATAATTAAGAGAAAAACCATCCAGATTTTTTGGGCAGCCCTCAGTTATCTATGCGCACAAGAGGCAAAGCCTGTTACTAAAACGTCCTGGGAAATGTGAAAAGAGGTTAAAAATACCCTGCCCGATTAAATAAAAATTTTGATTATGGAAAGGTTATGTTGGCTATATTAATCTTAATCTTACTCTTTTTTAGCATTGTAAGAACCTAGAAATAAACAGGATTAATAGAATTAAAAAAATACAAATACAATCATATATTAATAAAACTAGTTCTTATATCCACTCTGAAAATTCAGTAAACCATTTCATATACCCTCCTTGTTTTCCCTGCAGGGGATGAGGGTGGGGGGTTTACTACCAAAAAATGTTATGGCTAATGATATATATATAAATATTTTTTAAAAAGAAGTCACATCACCACGGCAATAATAATTCTCACGAGTCTCATTCCTATAGCGAGAACCCCTTAGTCAATCAAAATAATAGCAATCAAAACATCAACAACAAACAACAAAAGAAGTTTACTAAACGCAAAAACTTCAAAGAAAATAGAACAACTGCTAATATTAATAATCGATCAATGATCGCCGACGATTCTAAAGAAACTCTTGATTTAAAAAACGACCAAATCCTGCCACCTAATAATTATCCTAGCATGCAATGCCACGGCCCCAAGTGCACAAAGTCGAATAGACCCGGTTCTAAGTACTGTTCCGATGATTGTGGTCTGAATTTAGCCACCAAGTGAGGAATTTAAATTTTGACTTTTAAATAAGAATATGGATACATATAATTATTTATTGGTTTTTTTTGGAGTTATGAATTATTTTTTATTTGGAAAATATTTTATATTTACTAACTAATAATAAAAGCAAATTTATGAGCGAAATATTGATTTTTTTTGTACATATATATATTTTATAGGCAGAAGGAACTTAAAACTCAGAGATATACTTATAAAAATTTTAGCAATTTTTAATCTATTGTGGTTTATCAGAAAGACATCGGTTATTCTATAAGACATATTTTTTTAAAATTTAGACAAGATAGTTTAATATCTTTCTATTTCTAGCCTATCTAATCCCATGATGTCCTTTTTCAATATCAAAGTGACTACTGGGGTCTAGACCCAATTAATATTGAAAAATGGCAATATGTGACAAATAAGAAATATAGTTTAATATCATAGATTAAATGGGCAGATAATGATGAACTTCATATCAATCACCTCTAACCATAAATTTCACTATCATTTTCGTGTAAATAAAACTTTCAAGGAATTTAAGTAATAAGACCACAATTTAAGTAAAAATGAAATGTATCAGATTTGCAATGCAAATTTCAAAAAACAAGTAGGTAATTAATTACATAAAAGGAACTAACACACTTGATTTAACGCAGGTATGGCAGAACTCCTCTTGAGCCTTAAACTTTATAAATCAAGTAAATAAGCGAATTTATTGAAAAACGTATTTATATATTTTCATAAAAAATATCTGCTCTACCCATTCTTGGTCAAGTTTTCTTAATTTTGTGCCAAATGCCTTATAAAATATAGGTATTTTGTAAAAATAAATATTTCGTTTTAAATTTATTTCTGAACAATACTAATTGCAACTTCACAACTTTAAAAAAATATATTTATATACTTATAATACTTTAAGACGAATATTCGAATTTTTACCCATGCGTATTCAACAGTGGCAAAATAATCCATCCATAACCGACATTAAAAATAAAGCTCAATGGGAAAAAGTGAGGGCTAAACAAATTCAATCACAAAAGAAATTGGAGCAGCTGAACGAACAAAAGGATAAGCTAGAAGCCATAATATGTTCTAGCAAAGCCTTAACTATAGATTCCGAACAAAATGTATGCTTTTAAATATTAAACTTAAAAATGTGTAAGAGAGGGAGGAAAATGCTTTTTATTAAAAAAAGGCAAGATACAATATAATAAATATTATGGATAGTTTGGTTGTTTTAAAATTTTTAATAAAATAATGAATAAATTTAAAATTAAGATAAGGAGAAAGATGATATACTTAATGGATTCCCAATTTTATAAATGAGAAATTTTTTTATTATAGGAGAACAGAAAGAAAGTGATATATATATAATGAAAAAAACTAGCGCTTTAACAAATTCAATGTAACTACATAGAAAAGAAATACATTTTGAAAGTCAAGATATATTTTTTAATTTTGATGTTTTTTTAAAATAGGTGTATAAAAATTTTTTAGAAGCGAATAAATAAAGCTTTTTGAATTAAAAAATAGAAAGAGTGAATCTTAATATTTGGGTACCATTGATATTGTTATGAGTATCTTGAGAATTAACCATACTCACCTATATTATCAATATCTGCCTATACCCTCTGATATCGGTTATTGGCTAACAAAAGTAGTATTGCGACATCTCTGAAAACCAATATTTTAAACATGCAAATAGTCTCTTTGATTTAAGGATATAAGCCTAATTTTTATAATCGGAATAGGATTAAAATCCTATCCTCAGAAATTTTGTTCTTTAATTTTATACAAATTATATATTATTAGAACCAAGATTCGGAATTGGAAGAGTTAGATGCGAGTATTTTTTGTGTTACCTGCGGTCATCCTATCAACCCTAAGACGGCCCCGAGGCATATGGAAAAATGTTTTTCGAAGGTTAATTTTTTTTGTTAAATCGGTTATTTGCTCGGTATCTATGAGCCTTAAAATCTTAAATAAATACTCTTTTTTTAACCCAGAAGCAAAAATTATTTACCTTTACAAATCAAAAAAAAATAGTCAAATCAAATTTTTATGTTCTTCTTATATTCCAGGGTTTGAAAATTTTAAATTAAAATGAGGTATTTTTTGTAAACGTTTTTATTATAAGTTAATATTTCAGTATGCGAGGATTGTAAAGTACTTAACAGATTTCGTAATAGCTCAACTTAAGAAAATGTTTTATTTGGGTGAAATATATTTAAAATTAAAACTGATAACTGAAGTTAGGATTAAAGGTTAGAGAGATAAAAAATGAATTTTAATAAAATTTAATAATTTTTGAGAAGAATAATCTGACAAATCTGACAAGTTATATGTTTTATTTTGCACCAATGGGCTCCGCGAACTGTAGGGTGGGGGAGAGATCGAACTACATAAGGGGTGAGGGCAAGAGGCTCCGGCTTGGTCGATATTAAATTAATAAAACAAAGTATTCCATGGGCTACATTCTTTAAAAGTCGTGCAATCTTGGGGGTTTGGATTTTGTCTACTTTGTAATTATCCTACTGAGTTTCTATTTTAGTGTACAAATGTTTAAAACACAATTTATTTTTTTATTTGGGTATAATAATTCGTAAAGATAGTATTAATCATAAGTAATAATAATTTTAGTAAATATCCTTAATTATAAATAACGCAACATAATCAAATTTCTAAACCTAAAGTGAGGGAAAATTTTTTTAAGATCAGATGTTATTAACTTGTTACACAACCTCCTATATTAAAAAAAATACTCTATTCCTTATACGACCATTCGATTCACGCCTCGAATTGTGATGATATAAATAGTCCTAACTGGTTTCCAAATCGCACTGTTTGCCCATCCCTGGTTTCACCTTTAGGTTGAATTCGATAATGGAATTTATTGATTGCTAATCCTTTATTATTATTATTAGGGGTTTACAATTGTTTATATATTTACCACTGATAGTTCAGACATCTTTCTAGAGGTAAATGCCATTTTTAGTGTATTATATAAGATAGTTAACATTGCCTCATCATGATTCGCTGTGAATTTTCATAAATGGTTTTTGCCTCCTCTTAGTGGTAGATTATCGGGGTCCCCCTATAAAGACAATTTAACCCCCAGTAATATAAAAAAAAATATTAGCAATTAATAAACACTGCGATCGGATCCACAAAAAAGGTAAAACCATCATGAAACATGGATAGTTTTTTTTAACATTAAGTACACAATGCGATTTTGGAACCAGTTGGCCTATTTCTGACATCACAATTTGTGGTATGGATTTTATCATTTGCACCATGAAATAGACATTAACAGGTTGTGCTACTTTCTAAGAATGTCAGCCTTGGAATGCTCCTTTTCATTTATTTTTTGTGGAATTTAGATTCTTGTTTGACTAAAACGAAACAGGGTCGCCTTGTTCTCTGCCTCAAAATAGCTAGAACATCGACCATACCGATCCTTCTCTCACCCCACCGTTAGTGGAGCCTGCATGATTATAAATTGACTAAAGAAAATTAACAAAATCAGCTGTTGTAATGGCAATTTCTTAAGTTGAAACTGAATCACCAAGGCTATATTGATTAGACAGTGTTTTTAAGGTCTTAAGTAGATCTTTAAAGGTTCAAATCATACAACTAATTATATCACCTGAATAGACAATAAAATAAATAGTTAATGTTGCTAATAATTCTTTTAAGCGTCCTAAAAAAGACAGTTTGCTCGAAAGTAAATGTTTTTAATGACAAATAAAATAAGATTATCGTTTTTTAAAGTATTTTTTTAATCTTCATATTATATTTTTTTTCGAAAATAGATTGAAAGCCAAACCTCGTATGGGTCTATATATCAAACGAACGTTGGTATGGATCTCTTCTGCGATGTTTATAATTCAGAATCACAAACCTATTGCAAAAGATTGAAAGTTTTATGTCCAGAGCACACCAAAGAGCCTAAGGTTCGATAAACCCTTCCTTTTAAGATATAATATGTAATAGGGTCCTTTGTATTTTATACTCGCCTTTTATTTTATAGATAAAATTTTCTCGAAAAAACCATGTAATTAATTAATATTTTTTTTAAATCAAACTATTGATTATTTGTTCTTATAAATAATTTCAAGAGGGTAAAGGGAGTGGGAGGATTCCTACATTTTTTATCGTGAGTAGATTTGAATTGATATTTGTATATAAGTATTTATTCATTTATAACCTTCGTGTTATTATTAAATTCATTTCGGCTTTCGTTTTAAAGTATAATATTAAATTGTTCTCGGAGATAATTCCTAATATATTATGTTTAAATAAGTAAAATAGTTTAAAAGTATTATGCTTAGTTTAAAAATATTATGCTTCATTAGGTAGATGAGTACGAAGTCTGTGGATGTCCTATAATGAAAGACGTTTTCGAGGAAACGGGACAGTTTTGTAGAGCATCCAAGAAAAAATGCATGAAACATTTCAATTGGGAAAAGTTGAGGAGAGCCGAAATCGACATGGAGAAAGTCAGACAGGTATAACTTCCAAATAAAAATTTATTACTTTTTAATATTTTTAAATTTATTTATTTTTGGATGAAAATTTTTTTGTTTTAAAATCTATCAGTTCGGTTAATAATTAGTTCATTAGTTGAATGTTAGTTTGATCTATGATATGTCGATCATAAATTATATAAGATGATATTTGTTATATTATCCCCAAAACTAGGTTAATATGAGTCCGTTAACTGAAAGTCAGTTTGATCTATGATATTTAAATCAGAAATTGTGATTAGAGGTTATTGGCTTTATTTTTTTTATCCGCAAAGCTAGATAATATTAGTCCGTTACCTGAATGTTAGTTTGATCTATAATATGTCAATGAAATAATCCTTTTATTTGTATATTATGTGTAAATAGTATTTTAAAAGATTACAAAATGTAAATTGTATATAATTAGTATAATAATATATATGTTGGGAGAGAGAAGGTCAAAAAAAGGAGCCGTGGATGGCTACAATTAGATCTGCATATATCAATACATACACGCTGTCGAAGATAGAAGCCTTCCTGTGGGTCACCAGTGATGGCGCAATTTTTTTTACCAAGGGATTTGAAGAAGGTTAGAGCATGATTGCCGAAAAACCGGTTGTGTCGGATACAATTGGTATGAGATTGCAATTGGTTAGGGAAATGTATTTGTTAATTTTAGAGTTTTCGCTCGTACGAATGAGTTGTTACTGAACGAAGGAGCGAATCGGTCTATGCAAGTGTAATCCCATGCTAAAGGAGTTCAATTACTCCAATGTATTATATTAAGGTCAGCCCATCTTGCCGGGATACTATTTTCAGCTGAGAGGCCACAGGGTTCGAGGCTGGCTGGGATTTGAGCTGAGCGTTGAGCGCGGAGAATGGTGCTGTTAACTGCACTGTGTCGAGAGTGTCTACGTTTAGAGAATCGACAGAAAGAGGGGATGTCCGAAACAATCAACGGGGTGGGAACATAAAGTGCATGCAGAGTTGGCCAGTATTTTACAACCAAGATGGAGACCAATTGCAATGCGTAATTCTTCGTTTGTTAGGAGGAGCCCTAAGTTTGAGCTGGGCAAAGCTTATAACCATTTGAAACCCGATAAGGAAGGTAAAAGTTGTGGAACTTGCAATTGTTGTGGGAGAGGGATACAGTTAAGGATTCATCAACTAAAATGGGTGATAATAAATGTAAAAGAATTGATGGGGATCTCTTAGACGCAGCACTCGATATTAGATATTCAATGGAGTGGTGTATTAAGGGAAGATCCCAGTCATGTTGCTTTCGTGATGTGGGGTTTCGAGCAGAAAGGGAATTCTCTTTCCAGATTGTTAGGGCTTGGGAGAGGTGGGGGTCGGTGAAGTTATTGTTAAGTGATATAATTAAGCGGAAGCTTGACTTTGAGGCTAAAAAGGCAGCAAGGCTGAGTGGCGCAGGTGATCTTATGCCAAGACCCCCAAATTTCGAAGGCAAGGAAGCCTGCATCCAAGAATTAGGGCTGAATTTTATATTGAGGATGCCATCTAAAGAGTCATTGATTGTTGATTCTATTTGGGTGAGAATTTCCAGGAATAAGAAAAGTGGGGCAGAGTGGAAGGCATGTTGGATTTTGAGAATAAAGAAAAAGTTTTTGAAAAGGAAGAAAGCTTGATGGGAAGGAAGGATTTTATGTAAAAGGTGGAATTTACGGAGAAATTTTGTTTTGAAATATTCGATTGCTTTATTGCCTCCTATTAGGGATCCAAGATGTGTGAACCCGTATAGATTAATGCAGTCCGGACGAAACAGGCCCCTCACATTTGCTCACCATTATCCCTGTCGTTTCTTGATCTTACCAAATTTCTTCTATCATAATTCCATCTCGTATAAACATGGTGGAGTCCGCGGGGGCATCGAGCCTGTAAATGACTCCTTGCTCCGCAGATGAAACACAACCGGATGTTCCGTACGGTACGTAAACCCGATTGGCTGGGCTGGGGTAACTCGGATCCATGACCCATTCCGTTGAACATTTTCATAGTTTGTCTATTTCGCGGGGGTCTGGGATCGGGTCTCGATCCTGGATGTAGATGATTTCTTTCCGTATCAACCCTGCCCCTGAGGATACTAATTCGAACGGTGATATTTTCCCAATAAATACATTCATGGATACCTGCCATTTTTAACTTCATCAAAATAGAAAGGTATAATAAAAAAAATATAATGTACTTTCTTTTCACAATTTCTTAAATACCAAAAAAAATTTTTCTTTACAATTAAAATTTATGAAAAAAAAATTAACAATTTTCTTTATGAGAGAAAGTTAATAAATCATGGGAATGAAAAAAATTGGTACAAGATCGTATCTTGTTGAAGAAAGAATAGAGGGGTGATGACAGTTGGAGAGAAAAACGGATAAACATTTTTTTTGAAGAGTGTTATTGGAAGGGATAAAAGAAGGAGTATCCAAAATTGTTTAATTTTTTAAATTCACTCATAAAGAAAATTGCTAATTTTTTTTTCATAAATTTTAATTGTAAAGAAATTTTTTTTTTGGTATTTAAGAAATTGTGAAAAGAAAAAGTACATTAATGCCCGACCCCTTTTCTTTCGGGCTTGGGTTTTCAAATATTATTTAATGAGCTTGGGCCTAAAATTTTTCCTTTAAATTTGGTATGTTTTAAAGATATTTAACAGGATAAATATAACTAATCATTATGATTTGGAGAATGTTAATTTTATTTTTATTGCTTTTTTTAAAAAATTTAAATTGCAAATTTGTATCTTACTTATATTTTTGACTATAAAATTTTAGGTATATAGCTACTATATTATTTATATTTTGTGAGGGATCATATTTTATTAACAATAACATCTATCTAGTACGTCGGTCATAGACCTGCCCAAAATGAGCGAACGTGAATTATATGAAGGCGGCCTTCATATAATTATGCCATTTTTTTCTAAAGGATACCAACAAACCTTGTACCCAGATGAAACTAAAAAAGTGAGTGTGACTTACCCATACCGTTTTTGTAAATAGTTTGATTTAGTAGAGAGTAAAATAGAAAGAAGCAAAAAGGTAAGATATAAGAAAATAAAAAAAAATAAGAAAAATATTGTTTAATTCCAAATACAACTGTCTTTTATTAAATTAATTTTGTATCTTTAAGGAAAACTTTATCGTTTGATTATTTATCCAATTGAATTTTATGATGCTTAAATTTAAATATTAGGAGGTTTTCTGAATTAACATTACATGATGTAGAACTTTAATATTTTTAATCCAACCAATAGTTGACCTGATACTAATGAAATAGTCAATTTAAGCTTACAACATAGTTCTAATAGTTGTCATCCCCCAGCATCTGAGCTTATATCCAGAACCCAGAGACACAATGGAGGCTAGGCTTACAATTTTTTACGGTGAACCTGGACCAGACATGGTCATATAATAAAAACCCATGAAGGTTCTACTCATCTTCTAGTATAATGTATTGTTGAGCCAATTCCTTAGTGGGAGTATCTTAAAAATATGGAATAAATATTTATTATCCATTTTTTAAAAATTTTTTGTAATTAATTAAAGCCATGTTTTTAATTCAGATTAAAAATTGACCAGTACCTGAATTAAAATTCTGGTGAAGATGAGCTTTTTGGGAAAATAAAGATCATTCCTTTTAATATTATAAATTCCCCCAATTTAAATCTTTATTAAAAATAATATAACCCTTTCATTCACTGCACCAGTTGAACGTTTAAGCACCGCTAAAGCTGTGTTGAGCATTACACGCTTTTGTTTACCTGATCAAAATTTTGAAAATCTTGTTAAAAATAAATAAAATTTATTACATAAAGAGCTTATATATAATATATTATTTTTGTATAATAAAATTTTCTATAATATTAAGTATTTTTTAAATTACGAGTGCAGTAAAGAATTCCTTTTAATAACGAGTAACCCATTTTTTTTATGTAGTACCATATACAGCACTAAAATTATTAGATAATTGGAATTTATTACATTTACAATTATGTGATGATCAATTATCACGTTATAAAATTCTTGAAAAGCCAAAAAGATCTTTAAAAAAATAAATATAACCAGTCATTAAAAATAAGATCATAATCATACTATTTCCTGCATTATCTAAAAATATCGATATTTCGCCTGATAAATACAAAGTTAAACTTATTAGCCAAAAAATATATGCAGGTGATAATGATGGAGCCACACATTTAACTTTTTTAACGGATAGCATTGCCCATATAGACCAACATATTTTTAATTTTTACCCCCTCCCCGCTCCCCTCATTACGAGTTTCTCTGTTCTCGAAAATAATTTAAAATCTTTATAAAAAAAATAGTTGTAAACCCTAAATTATTTTTAGCTCTCCACCCTCCCATTAGTAAAATCCTATTACGCCTAAGCAAATTATAATAAGAAATGGGCAGTTATAAAAGGCCCTTTATCAAAGGGATATGTTATTTATATTTTTTTTATACTTTTTAATATTGATATGTGGGTAAGTTATAAAATAAATATAAAACAAATAATAATGTACCTCTTGAAAATGCATTAACCGATTTTTGTTATTTTATTCCAAATACAAGGTTCACAATATTTATAATAATATCCAAAATTACATGAATTTTAATTTTGTTAAAATCTAAATATTCCATTTACAATAATCTGCTAAAATCGAAAGTAAATTTAAATAAAAAAATATTCAATTTTTCCCTTATTTTTTCATATTTAGAATTAAGGCTAATTTTTATTTTATAACTTTGTCCTTGTACCACAATCAGTGACCTTCATGGGTTTGGCCGATCCATAGGTATAGAGGCCTAATATTATATTTTCTAGCGAGTCTGGGCCAGACTTTTTTTAAAAAAATTAATGGGCCTAAAATTTTTCATCTTAAAAAAGTTGCTAACTTTAAAAAATACTGCAATTTTCTTCTTCTTATAATAATAATATAGGTTATTGCAAACAAAATGATTGCCTAAATACACTGAAATATTGTTTATTTTCATTAAATACAATAAATATTTGGAGGGCTTGAGCAAAATTTTTTAATGGGCTTAGGATAATTTCTAATATTAGATATGGGCCTATAATATTTTTTACTGCGGGTTTGAGCCCGGCTGGATCAAAAAATCTAGACCCATGAAGATCTCTGATCCCAATATGAAAAATGTGATTTTCGGTTTTTTTCCTTATAAAAGAAATTAAAATAGTAGACTATCACTTATTTAGTGCATGTGGACTTAAACCATTTAAAGATATCTTTAATTACGTAAAAATATCGATACATCGCTTATTGCGATAAATTCGTAATATAAGATGATAATGGTCTCTCTCCGTTTATTTTCGATCGAACCAGGACTCAGCTAAAGATTCCGATACTACAATTATTAATAAAATAATAATAAAAATATTTATATTTTAAAAACAAAAACAAAGCTTCTAATACTAGACGATTTGTTCGAGGAAGAAAGACAAATTCGCATTCAACTTTCGAGTAGAGCCGGTGTCTTGGGCCTCATACTGCATCAAACAATTTCGCACAACCCAGGTCTCCCCTTTCCTTCACAGCAACAACAGAAGAAGCTGCAGCCGCAATCCTCTGATTCCATGATGTTGGAATCGGAAACATCTAACAGCTGTTATAATGAAAATAGCAAAATTAGTCCTAATAAGGTTAGTCCCAACCCCAAGAAGGCATACTCGTTTAACGACGAATTCAAAAAATCGCTTATGCAAAGGGATAAACAAACAAGTGTAACCGGATAAAACAAAATTGCTCATAAATATTTACATTTATTTAAAATCAATTCCATAAATTATATAGTTTATTTTTGATATATTATATCTCAAGAAAAAATATTGAGTTAGATTAATAACTATTTTATCCACTATTATATGATTTGCAAAGATTTTAAGACAAAATGATCTTTCATTTTTTTAAAAATTATTTATCTGATAACACAATTGTTATTTTTTTCTCTCGATACTAATAGATTATTTAAAATACAGTTTATGATAAATTTATATCACAGATAATTTCATCAGTTTTATTGTTTCATATATATCAATAAATCGTATGGTTATGATATATTAAAATCATTTGAATCTAATCATTATTTTTTGATATTATATTTTTTACAGAATTATTTGAAATAATAAAAAATATATATACTTGAAACGAATTAAATTAATTAATGCATTTACAGTTCATTTTAACACTAACTTATTTTCTTTATTTTTTAAAAAATGATTATAGTATAATATGAACATATTTTTAAATTTCATGATTTGTCCGATTTTCTTCGTTTTATACGTTTCTTTTATAATATCGACTTGCAGAAAAGGTCGACAGGGGTGTAAAAGAGCTTATCTTGTGCTGGGATTTTCTCATGCTTCCAATTGCTTGATTTGTTTTAAGTTGGATCACTAAGTACTTAAGATTTGACGTGAAAAAAATATATAAATAATATCGCTTTATTTATTTTAAAAAAAATTATGATAGAAAGAGAAAGTTACGGTACTGACCTCAGTCTCCAAGTTTAAAAGACCGGATCGAACCTAATAAAAAATATATAATCGGAAAATAAATCAGCTCAATCGATCATTTCTAAATTTGCACAGGTTGATAATTCATAAAATTTGGTTTTATGAGTGTGCAAGATCAAAGAAGGTTTCTTATAATAATTCTCTAGAACTTACAAAAGATTTTTCTAATAGTAAAATTTTTATATAAAAAAACGATGTATTAACCATTTGCATGAACCGATCTTTTTAAAACGATCGAATCCCGATCACGATCTTTTCAAAAAAAGAGGATCGAAATCCAAGATCGATCTTTTCAAAAAAAGAGGATCGAAATCCAAGATCGATCTTTTTTTCTATTTAAATTACTAAAGGAAATTTCTGACCGATGCAAAATTAACTAATATAAAAATAAATTAAATATGGTAGAAATTTATTGTAATTGAATAATAAATATAACAATTATAATATATTTATTTATATTTAAAATTAGCTTTTAATAATAAAATTTTTTCTAAATTATCATCATTTAAACATCCGCGTCTTTCATTTAGAACATGTTTAGCTTTACTAAACAAGCGCTCCAATGGCAAAGGTGTATTATATTCAATAAATATTTTTTTAAAATTAATATAAGTATTAAAAATATTCATGGAATCATCATTTGAATAAAAAAAATTTTTTAACGGGACAAGCATTTTATACAATATTTTTCCCAAAAAAAGCATCAATGTCATCCATACATTCATTTGAGGTATCCGCATATGGTTGTTCCTGCATATTTTCCAAATGGGCAACTAATCTTTCTTTTACCATCATATTTTGTGGCAGATTAATATGGCCAATTAAGTTTAAATTTAGGGTGAATCATGGCTGCCAAAATGTTACTGTCTTCATACAGTGAAGGAAATCTATATTATGAAATGATAATTAATTTATTATTAAATAAGTGTTTATTTTATTCATATAAATCAAATCAAGTATCGGCAAAACTTAACCCTTTTAAATTTTACAGTCAATTCTGGCACATCATCTGTATGGTATTTATTTATATTTGGTCATATCATAAATATTGATTAAATGTAAACTTAATACTTAATATACAAAGAAATTAACATTGTAATTTATTTACAAAGAATATTAATCAAAATATTAGCTTAAAATTCAAATAATCTAATAAATTTTTAATGTCTTCAAAGGCCCATTAATATTTTACTAGATATCAGAGGTTTAGTAGAACTGGCCTGTTAAAAACATTTTACTAAATTTGCTAGATCTTTGCAATTTTTTAATATATTTTGCAGATATCTGATAATATAAAATAATTGCATAAAAAAATATTACGTTTTATCAATACCTCTAAGAACACTATCTACAAGGGGCTGACAATACGCAGGCAGCTAAATTTCGTTAATTTATCTATCAATATCGATAGAACGGGAGTCAGATATCCCTGCTCCATATTATCCTCCCGTTCCAAGATTTTTAACGAGATCGCCAAAGTTTCCATAACCTATAAAATTTAAATTTATTTAGAGAATATCATTGTAATACTATTGCATACTCTTTAACAAAAAAACATTCCTCTTGCCTAAACATTGCAAATCCAATTTGATCACATACTTGTTCTACTTCTGTTCAGAAAGCATCTTATCTATCAATTTCATGCATTGGTAATAAGAATTCCTTCTTGTCTTGTTGGGAGCTATTAAATATCTTCCCAATTTCTCCAATAAAATATTCGTCATTTTTGACGACATATTTGGTTTATTAACTAAAGCAAAACATTTTGCAAAAGTGGATCTAGATATTCATTTATAATTGAGATCACTTGCCATCTCCGCATCTGTTGTTGCAATAAGGTTAAGATTATGGCAACAACAACGTTGATGTTTTGGTAGGCTGATAGTAGGAATAATTGGGTCATCAACGGATAATATGTCATCCAAATTTATCAATAACATATCCTCACTACTATCTTCTTCATTTTCTCCAAAAACTCTAGAAAAAATAAATTTATTTAAATATTTTTTGTTAAATATAAACAGAAGTAAAACAAGTATGTGATCAAATTGGATTTGCAATGTTTAGGCAAGAGGAATGTTTTTTTGTTAAAGAGTATGCAGCAGTAAAACAATGATATTCTCTAAATAAATTTAAATTTTATAGGTTATGGAACCTTTGGCGATCTCGTTAAAAATCTTGGAACGGGAGGATAATATGGAGCAGGGATATCTAACTCCCGTTCTATCGATATTGATAGATAAATTAACGAAATTTAGCTGCCTGCATATTGTCAGCCCCTTGTAGATAGTGTTCTTAGAGGTATTGATAAAACGTAATATTTTTTTATGCAATTATTTTATATTATCAGATATCTGCAAAATATATTAAAAAATTGCAAAGATCTGGCAAATTTAGTAAAATATTTTTAACAGGCCAGTTCTACTAAACCTCTGATATCTAGTAATATATTAATGGGCCTTTGAAGACATTAAAAATTTATTAGATTATTTGAATTTTAAGCTAATATTTTGATTAATATTCTTTGTAAATAAATTACAATGTTAATTTCTTTGTATATAAAGTATTAAGTTTACATTTAATCAATATTTATGATATGACCCAAATATAAATAAATACCATACAGATGATGTGCCAGACTTGACTGTAAAATTTAAAAGGGTTAAGTTTTGCAGATACCTAATTTGATTTATATGAATAAAATGAACACTTATTTAATAATAAATTAATTATCATTTCATAATATAGATTTCCTTCACTGTATGGAGACAGTAACATTTTGGCAGCCATGATTCACACTAAATTTAAACTTAATTGGCCTTATATTAATTTGCCACAAAATATGATGGTAAAAGAAAGATTAGTTGCCCATTTGGAAAATAAAATATGCAGGAACAACCATATGCGGATACAAATGAATGTATGGATGACATTGATGCTTTTTTTGGGAAAAATACTGTACAAAATGCTTGTTCCGTTAAAGAAAATTTTTTATTCAAATGATGATTCCATGAATATTTTTAATACTTATATTAATTTTAAAAAAATATTTATTGAATATAATACACCTTTGCCATCAAGCGCTCCTGTGGAGCGCTTGTTTAGTAAAGCTAAACATGTTCTAAATGAAAGACGCGGATGTTTAAATGATGATAATTTAGAAAAAAATTTATTATTAAAAGCTAATTTTAATTATAAATAAATATATTATAATTGTTATATTTATTATTCAATTACAATAAATTTCTACCATATTTAATTTATTTTTATATTAGTTAATTTTGCATCGGTTATATTATATTATCATTCAATTACAATAAATTTATAACATATATTAGTTAATTTTGCATCGGTCAGAAATTTCCTTCAGAAATTTAAATAGAAAAAAAGATCGATCCTGGATTTCGATCCTCTTTTTTTGAAAAGATCGTGATCGGGATTCGATCGTTTTAAAAAGATCAGTTAACAAGCCTGCTCACTACTATCTTCTTCATTTTCTCCAAAAACTCTAGAAAAAATAAATTTATTTAAATATTTTTTGCTAAATATAAATATTACTTAAATGCCTTGACAAAGTTGGTTCCATTGTCAGTCACCATCTTCACCACCTTATTGTGAATTTTATAGAACTTGTGGATACCCATGATTTCGTTAGCCAAAACATAATATGTTTGCCTCCAAATTATCCTCCTCAGTGCCAAAGCGGCTGACCTTCTCTTGAGGGTTAACGGATCCAGCCAATGTGCAGTAAGTCCAATAAAAGCCCTAATAAAATAAACATTATAAAATTCATATAAATATAATATACCTTAGATGACCACTCCAACAATCAACAGTGGTGCATACATACGAAACTTCAGACAAATCTCTTATAAGATTTGTCGTCATATAAGAGAAGGAAGTAGATATCCTTGTTGCCCAGTGTTTGGCGACAAATAATTTTTGTCGCAGGAGAAAAAGTTTTAATCATTTTTTCAAATGAAGGATCATCAACCAGAGACAGTGGTTGAAAGGTGTCAATAATAAAATCCATGATAACCTTGTCTGCTGTTTTTTGCGATACAGCTGGAATATTTAGATCTTTATAATTTAATTTAGATTGTCTGGATTTGCAACCAGAACCACTTTGGTTTTGCAGTGATATATTTTTTGTGTAGAGAATTCGTTGAGGTGTTTGGTAATCTCATTTTTAAATTCACTGTGCTTTTTCTTTATAAAAGAAAAAAATAGTATGTATCAAAGTTGGATGAAAATAACTTCTCCTGAATCAAATTTCATTTTTAAAATTTTATATGGAAATTTAAAGTTAAAAAAAACAATGTACAGGCTGAATGTAAAATCTATATAAACAAAAAAATGATAAAGGGTTCAACACAAATTTTGTTAAACATATTAAAGTATGTTATTAGTGGTTAAAGGGGGTAGGTTATCTCAAAAATTTAAGTTTACAATATTGTCTATCATTATTAAAAGTTGCCCAAGATGATATGGGCCAAAGATTTTGATAAAGTATTTTCCTATTATGAATATAATGAGGCTTTTTGGCATTTAAGAACTTATGGATTGAGTCAAATGATACAAAAAATACTTTCAATTCAAAATATATTAATAAAAAAAGCCCTAAAAATGTTGTCAAGAGGATTATATAATCAAGCTCAAACTGAAAATATAATACTAATTGATTAGATTTAACATATTATAATAAAGAAATAATAGAATAGATATTTATTTTTATTTTGGTGAAACATTGCTAAGTTCAATACAAATAACATTGAATTGGATGTTTTAATTATAATAAAGAAAGTCAAAATACATTATAAAGACTTAATTATAAGTTATTACACTTACATTTATTATAAATACTCTTCTTTTGAAAATTAAACTAATATAATAGATATTAAAAAATAAATGCCTAATTATTATATATAAATAACAAAACCAAGATTAACTCTTCATCAAATATTTTATTAATTATACTGTATCTAATAATTCATTTTTTTTATAAAGAATCTGTATCTAGATTCTATTTCTGTAGAACCTGCTCAACTCAGGAATGTAATAAATTAAATTTAAACATGTTGACATTAAGATTATCAAATAAAAAAATTTAAAAGAATTACTTGTAAATGTCTCTTTAAGTTCGAGGATGATATTTTGGAAGATGATATTATCTTCTTACAGAGACGGCATTTGGTGCTGATCATATTATAAGAGTTGCTTTCATCCATTTCACATAAAGTAAAATACTTACGTAATTTCAAAAATGGTAAAAGATTCTCATTCTCACTTATATCTCCTGTTACATCAATAGTAGAAGCAATAGAATCTTCTAAATCTATAATGGACATTTACATTTACCTATTAAAATAAATATTAATATATTATTATAAATTTATATTAAATAACTTGTAAGAGCTCTAAATCTCGTAAAATTTAGGAAATGAATAAATATATCTATAAAATAAATGGTATGGAAGTTGATAAAATATGAAGATAGATAATATTTTAATTTAATTTTCAAAATTTTTATTTTATTTATTGCTTTTTAAGTAAAAAATTAATTTTTAAAAAGATCGGGATCGAATTTTAAACAAAATGATCTCTATCCTCAATTTAAGTCAGAATCATAAATCTCGTAAAATTGACAAATTTGCGATCGAATCCAGGATCGTCGATCTTTTGATTCGATCTTTTAACAACTCTGACCATTTGTAATTTGATTAGCAAGGGATGGTCAGTTCGCCTTTATCTTGAAAATCACAACCATAAGAATTGGATTTAGTAAAAGTTCAGGTTTTACTTTCTTATTTTGGTTTGTTTCGGGGCTAAATTAATAAGATAGTTATTTTTAATTTTTTATAGCGTTAACAGTCGATACGTTCCGTATCCTGTGAGATTTTCCATTTTCTGTCTTAGCGTATACTTTAACAGTATTTTTCGTTATCGCAAGGAGAAACTTTAGATATGTTAAGAGCGATGATTCCTTACTAAAATATTGCTTTGTATCGGTCGCCTTAAAGTATTAATGAAGATGTAATATTATCGTTACTTATGGCGTTACCTTTTCTGAGAAAGAGGAACGCCAATCCTTACTTATTTCAAATGGTAACGAGTAACGTGTTTATTATTTTGAGTAACGGTAACGCAAAATGTTACTTATTACTTAAAAATTTTTCTTAAAATGGAAAGAATATATTTTATGAATAATTTTAGCCAAATTTTAATTCAGATCAACCACGAAAGCTTTTCATATTTTTTATAAAATCAATTTTTTATTAATATAAAAAGATATTTAAATATTTTAAAAAATTTTAATACACGTTATTTATAGACAGTGGTTAACAAAAAACTTCAAATGAGCACGTTGAAAATTCTATTCCCCAAAAATTTAACAACAAATAATTTTTTTCGAATTTGTGATTTCCATCATGCAAAATATTTTGTAAGTAAAAATCACAATACAATAACGATTTGGAATTTTTGGAAAAAATTGATTGATTAAAAATTTTGCTTGAGTCTAAAAAAAATTTACTTTCTTTGAATATTTTATTTTGAACCAGATTTCAAAACTCTGTTTTGAGTTTACAAATATTCGTTAATTTTTTTAGCGTCAAATTATTTGGAAAATAAAAATAATAAAACTTTGTATCCGAAAAAAAAATCCATACCAAGTTGTTTAAATTATTTATTTGACAACATAATTGTTATTTTCTCTCGATACTATAGATACAGATTTTATAAAAATATGATAAATTTATATCACAGATAATTTCGCCGGTTTTATAATTGTATACATCAATAAAAAAAATCGTTACCGATTTATAGTATGATATTTTAAAATAAATTGAATCTAATCATTATTTTTAAATAAATATGTTATTTACAGAATTGTTTGAAATAAAAAATATATATATTTATTAAACCGATGTAAATCAATTAGTGCATTCATTTGAATACTAACTTTTTTGTATTATTTTTCTAAGCAAATGATGATAATATATATATAATCTTCATCTGCCAAAATAAGGAAGGATTTTTTATTTCAATATTATTATTATTTTCTAAAAGTATAGAAATTTTAATCAGTTTTGAATTTCATGATTTTGCCGATTTTCTTCGTCTTATAAGTTCCTTTATAATATCGGGTCGCGGTAAAGGTCGACCGGGGTGTAAAAGAGCATATCTTGTACTAGGATTTTCCCATGCCTCTAATTGCTTGATTTGTTTTAAGCTATTCACACAAATGGGATCACTAAGTACGTTAGATTCGACTTGAAAAAAATTAATATTATTATCATAAATAAATTATTATTTTAAAGTAATCATGATAGGCAGTGAAGGCTATGGTCCCGACCTCAGTCTTCAAATTTAAAAAACCGGAATAAATAAACGGATAATAAAACAGCTCATTAAATTATTTATAAATTCAAACAGGTTGATAAATTAGGTTTTATAAGTGTGTAAGGTTAAAAAATGTTTCTTATATAATTCTCTAGAACTTGTAAAAAAAAAATTAATCTCCAATTTGTTGAATAGTTAATCAAAAAACGATGGATTAACAATTTGGCAAAAATTGTTAACAATCTTAATTGGGGAGGGGGGGGGGGGTGAAAATCTAATTTGACTAGCAAGGGATAGTCAGTTCGCCCTCTCTTGGAAATCACATGTCCATAAAAAATACATATATTTTGATTATTTTATACTGTTGACAGTCAGATACGTTTCGTATTCTCCGAGTAAGATTTTTCCATTCTCTGTCTTATCGTAAACTTTAACGCAGTATTTTCCGTTATCGCAAGGAGAGACTTTTGATATTTTAAGACCAATTATTCCATACTCAAATATTGCTTTGTATCGATCGCCTTAAAGTAATTATTTTTGTTAATGAAGATATAAACTCAATATCAAATCAATTATTTGGGGAAAAAAGAATAATAAATCAAAAAAATAGATAACAAAATGAAATATCTTTATAACTCCAGTTCTAAATTTTATAATTAATAAAGTAGCTTATTAAAAAAAAATTACAAAATGGGACTCCCATTCCTGAGTGTTACTCAACGATATCAAATTATTTCATTTAAAAAATTTCTTTTCTATATTGAATACAAGTTATAAATGAATATAATTCACTTCAACATTGAATTACAACAGATGGAAAGATGAAATTGTGACAGAGGGGAGGCGCTGTGCCCAATCATAACAAAATATAATTTAAAAGTACTGGTTTGATATGAAATGTGTACGCTTAATTTTTAAATAAATTTTTAAATTAAGAAGAATATAGCCATCCCAGCAACCTATTCCTTCAGGCCGAAGTCTTGACATTGCGAATTTCTGGGTCAAAAGAGAACTTGTTTGAATCCAGAGAACATGAATTCATTATTATTCTTATTTTATAAATATAAATATTATCAGGAAGAATTTTAGGGCAGCATTTTTTAAAAGCCATGGGCGCACAATTAATTTTTCCCCCAAAACCATTGGCGGGTTAACGAAAGTCACACAATGGGCGGGCTTGTTAGTTATCCTTTGGGACAGGTTATAGAGGGTGGAGGAGGTTCCCTCCCGTTTTAAACTGTGAACTCCAAATGATAAAATCGATACAAACATTTCCCATTTTATAATTTCATTATCCTTAATGATAATTTCTCAACGAAGGATTGCTCATTAGTAGGGAATTACTAAATAGGGTGAATAAATTAAAAGAGGATTGCTGTGATTATAGATAGACAAATAGAAATTTAAATAAATCAGCTGTGTAAAGACAATATTCTCCAATTGAACCTATATTATTTATAATATAATATCACTGAAAAATTAATTATTATTTAATCAAGGCCACGTCTTAGTAGGCTATTTTTCTTTTTCTTTGTATCTTTTAACGTGGACGCCAATAAATTTTGTTAAAATTAAATTGGCGTCAATTTTAAAAGCTACAGACCCGTTTATCTTTTCCCGGCTACATCTTTTACGATTTTTTTATTAGCGTAGTGATATATACACACTTAAAGCAAAACATTTCTTATCTGTGATATATTAGCTCCACTGATTAGGAGGGGAGGGGGCGGACAGGGCACGAAGCCCCTAAATATTTGCCATCGGAGCCTTCATATATGATTATGAATGATTATCACCCGGTTGTATAAAACAGTTATTTAAATACCATTCAATTAATTTTTAATAATTATGTACCAGATAGTAATGGGGTTCCGTTGTGAAACCATTCGACGTCCCAATTAGCGTTTAGATTTTCGATTGAGACATCTATCGCTAAATCCAGCATTATATTTTCGTTTTCATTCGCCGTGTAATTAGCATCTAAAGGCCGCGTTAAGATGAGATTCGACTCATCAGTAGGTTCTGCCCAAATATAAAATACTTTAGGCGCCCTAATTAGATAAATTTTTAGACGCGCAGAAGCAGGTTTTTATACCCCTTCCCTGCGACTGCAATCTCCTGTTTAACATAACTTGAATTTTTTTTTGTGGAGTCTAGTAGCATTTGCGAGATTTTTATATCTATATTAGACCCGTCCAAGGTAGATTTACCTTTTTTTTCAGCGTATTAATATACAACTATTCAGCAAAATAAACCTTCTAAATATTTTTACCTTGAATAACAATTTAAATTAATGGGAAAAAAATCTTTATGTAAGTTTACAAAATATATGTAAAATCTTTCTAGATGAGATACCGATACAATCTTTTTGTATCTTGATACTTTTAACTATTTCTTTTTTAAAAATCCAAGGTTAGCAAAAATAAATTTAAATTAGTCTTCAAATTAATAAAATTAGTACACAAAGAAGTCCTCAAAATAATAAAATTAGTACCAAAGAATTGATATAGAAAAATAAGAAAACATTGAAGGACAAAAATGTTTTTCTTTCTTGGACTAATTGAAATACAAAAAAAGCAATTTATTGTTTTTTTACATTTTTTTTCTACTTCTACCTTCCTCTAAATCTAAGAAAAGGAAAATAATTCCCCGGAAAAAAAATCCCCGTTTTTTAAGATAATAAAAATTACGAAATTAATAAAATAGGAGAAAGAATTCCCTATAAATATATCCATGGAATAAAAATCCTCAAATAATATATTTAAAATTTTGAGAAATCAATTCCGGAAAATTATTTTCTAAGAATTATTATTGGGGATTTTTTTCCTGGAAAATTATTTTCCGCTTATATTTTTTTGAGGCCGTATATTTTGAAACCAAATATTTTAAATAGGCATTATTAGCTATAAAAATTAAAAATAAATATAATATATTTTAAAAAATCAGGGCCGGGCCATGCAAATGGACTGCAAGTAATCTCTGGAATATATAGCAAAACAAACATTTTAAATATATAAAATCATTTAAGCGGTAAGCGGAAAGTAATTCCCATTAAAAAATTTACCCGCGCCGGGTTTAGGGCCGGACCTACAGGTCTCTAATATATATATATATATATGGTTCTAAAAGAAAATGAAAAAGAAATGATTATCTTCTTTTAAAAAATGTAACCTTAAAAATGCGTAAATGTTATTTAATTTAAATTATGATGATTTTCAACAAATAAACTTGGTTCAAAAATATGGAGGTTTAATTTATTTACTTATATTAAAAAAATGAAATCTTGATAACTAAGATATCTGCAATAAGTTAAATAATTTAATTTATTATTACTGTTAACTGTCAGAAACGTCTCGAATTCTTTGAGTAAGATTTTACCATTTTTTGTCTTGTCGTATACCTTAACAACGTATCGCCCTTTATCGCACGTAGAAACTTTTGATATTTTAAGACCGATTATTCCATATTCGAATATTGGTTTGAATCGGTCACCTTAAAAAAAATATATCGAATTTATTTATTTTGCTAGTGTTTCTAAAAATATTTTGGATAATTAAATTATTTAAATATAATAATACCACTTTACGGGTCCCAAAAAATTTTTAGTTCAGTCGCAAGAGTTTAAAATCTCTGCTTAATCTCAATCAGAAAATGGGATAAGTAATAATATCGAAAAAGTAGCACATCCTAGAAAATTTAAAAAAATTCTGGGAACGTTTTTTGTCGGGACGAGTGGGAATGAGAGAAAGAGCATTGTTCTTCCGAATTCCTGGTTCAAACAAATAGGGTTTTCTTTCCAATTTATTCTCCTCTCTTCATCTTTTTTTCAAATTCCTATAAAGATTTCGCTATTATACAAATAAAAATTTGCGAAAATCTATCATGATTATTAAAATAATAATTTAAAATTTCATTTTGGAAAATTTACAAAATGCAAGCTAAAAAAGTTATTCAAAATAAACGAAATTTAAATTCCTGACTAGGCCGAAAAATGATCAATTATAGTAAAATAAAAAATCCATGCCGGGCCAAAAAGCTCCTGGGTAGTGTTTGTCAAACGGCTCGATTTAGCTTATCTTAAATTAAGATTTTAGCCAAAATAATATTATGCAGTCCTCAAGATTTCGTTAATAGATGTCCAACCAAAAATAATTCTCTAAGATTGCACAATATTTTTAGCTAAGATATTGGGTTATCCGTTTTCAAAATTTGGGCAGTTTAACAACACTAGTCCTGAGCCGGGTTTGAAATTAAGATTTTATCATTTTGACCACCTGTTATAAATTATGAGTACTTCCAAAAGTTTATGTAAAATTAGAATACAAATCTGGCATCAAGACTTACAAAATTTAAAAAACAAACATCGATTTACAAATGATTTAAATTTTTAAAATTTGTTAAAACCCAAGGGGGGGGAGGGGGGTGGGGTGGGGGGGCTGTAAAATATTTATAACATATATTTCCATTTACTTAAGCTTTTACTTCATATTGTTATTATGATTATCATTGATTATGAGACACATATGGTTATTAAAATACTATCCCATTATTTTTTAAAATAAATATACAATATAGCTATATACCTGATAGTAATGGGTTTCCGTTGTGAAACCATTCGACGTTCCAATTGGCGTTCAGGTTTTCGATTGAGACATCTATCACGAAATCTAGGATTATATTTTCGTTTTCGTTAACAGTGTAATTAGGATTTAAAGGTCGCGTTAAGATGAGATCGGGCTCTTTTGTAGGCGCGGATATTAAATCATTATTTTTCCCGGAAACAGGAAATGTATCTATTTCTTGGATACTGGATCGACGAAATGGATGTCTATTGATGGGTTTGCTTTTGTCTAAAAAATTATGTTTTTATATATAATTTGAACCCTGATCATACCTATATACTTTGTGGCGCAACTAAGCGCAGACATGTTAATATATATACAAGCCCAAATATAAAAAATTTTAAGTGCGCTAATAGGAAATTTAGACGCGTCGAGGTAGCATTCGCCCCTCATCACATAGAATCGTCATTTTCCTAACTCTAGCAACCCTAATTTTTTGATTTGTTTTAAATACGCTTGTTATCCTCCCATCAAACGAGAATATGAAATGAAAAGACTTATTTAATTTAAAGTATCCCTATTTTTTATAAAATAATTTCTTAAAAATGTTAATCTATGAAATTGTTATAGTTACAAAGGATGTAAAAAGATACAAAAAAATGTATTTTAAAATTTAAGAAAAATTTGACTCATTATTTATATCATTTTATACCTATGCATGTAAGTGTAGCACTTTGCTTGGCTGAACCATGTTTATTAGTTAAAACGCAAGTATAGTCACCTGAATCTGATTCGTAGACAGGATTGATGCATAAACCCACGACTCCATCTTCCAAAAATGCATCATATCTTGAGCCTAAATTATATATAATTTATTTATTTGCATTTGAGCATGAATTACTCGTGAAGCTATTTACATCTCCTAGCTCACTCTAGCATGATATTTTAAATGAGTTCCTTAAGTCAAGCTAATTATATCTATAGTTAAAATATTGACATTATACTTAATCTTGTAAAGATATTAAGTCTTTATATAAGAAATACAATTAACTCATTCGGAACCATTTTATTCTATTCATTTGGCAATGGCAGTTAAATAAATTAAAACAAAACGTGCTATGGCTGTGTTCTGGTTTGACTTATATCCAAAGGGAATATAGCTTCGACTGAAAAAAAAAATGCCACCAATCACTTATAACAAACCAAAACTATTTCAAAATTCAATAAGTATCAAAGATAAGTCGAAACAGAACATAGCTTATGTACTTTTTTTTAAATAACCTATTTTCAATGGTTTGTCCTTATGAAACCATTCCGATTTGATATTTTCGTCATCGGCAGGCGATATTGGGCTTTGAAAATCTGCGTATTCCTCTTCAATTACGTTGGGGAGCGATTCGAAAGGAGATAAAAACTTTGGTAAATAAAGCGAATTTTCATCTTCCTTCATCTTTTTAAAATATAATTTTAAAAAAAGATTAAATTCAAATTTGAAGAAACGCCGGCAACACGAAAACCACTCAACACTTGAACCCAGCACCTTAGAAATTTAAATAATTAGATTTAAACAGGCTAATTTCTCTCTTTATAGATTATCTCTACAAAAATATTTTAAACTAAAGTTCAGATTCCTTTATATTTGGGGATTTATTAAAATTCCATGTTTAATCAGTTGTTTAATTAAAGTTATGCTTTTTATTTATAATTTAACTCTAAAAAATAAATACCTTTTCGTAGTAAATTACAAATAAAATTTATAATTGAATGATTTTACATATATATATATATTTTAATATTGATATAATGTAAATTAGTGATCTGCATCGGGCCTAATTTTTCAAGCCCGGCCCGGCCCGAAAAATTGATAAATTTAGATATATTTTAAAAAATTTCTAAGGCCTTACCCGCTTAAAAAATATTAGTTCGGGCCGGATTCGGGTCGGAAAGTTATAACGAATTTTAAGCTTCTACATCCCTCTTTTTTCAAAGGATAAAAACCCAATTTATTAAACCTCTACATTTATATAAATCAGGATTTCTTAACATTTCATTATAATATTTTGACTTCGATATCTTAAAACCAGGAAATGATCTCCTCTATTAAAATTGAATCCAATCACAAAAAAATATTTTAGGCTCCATGTTTCACCCCTCCCCCTTAAGAAAATTTCTGGCCCTGGATTCACGTATAGCTCTGCTTTTGACTCATCAATAACATATAAAATAAAAAATTTCATCAACATTAGCTCTAATTTCTTTTAGTTCTAATAAAATGCTCTCCGCTATTCTAATCTTCTTAATCAAGTCAATGTCATGTTTTTGAAAAGTATTACATAAAATAGTTGTATAATTAAATAATACATTCTAATAAAAAAAAAATTTTGGAATAAGTATTGAATCCAATTCTTGCTTCTGAGGAAATATTTCTTTCAAACCATTACGATAATTCAGTAATAGCATTAATAATCGGCTCTTCTAACTCCATAAAAGCTGTTACTGCTTGATGGCGGAGACTCGATTTCGTTGGACAAGCTTGCAATTCCTTTCTCCCTGTCAGATAAGGAGTTTCAGATATAATTATTATTTGACTAGAAATTTAGATAAATATTACGCCACTAATATTTGAATATAATAGGTAAATTACGCCAAGGAAAACTTGAAATCGAAATTAATTGATAAAATAACTTAGTAGATGAATGTGATAAATATATGTAATTAAATATATATATGAGATAGGAATAAATATTAACAAATATTAATTAATATTAACAATAATATTTTTGAAAAATATAATCCGGCATCTTATTTTTTGGCTTTGGGAGGGGGGGGGGTGGAGGGATTTGTTTCCCAGCCTCCCGCTGTGTACGCGCCTGAGGAGGCTTTGGGGTCAAAATAATCTGGATTAGTGTTGTTAAATAATTGGTGAGCCGATTTTTAAAAAACGACTCGATATTTTACCCAGAAAAATAAGCAAATCTAAAGATTTCACTCATAAATGGCACAACGATTTGGATATATTCGCGAAATCTCGAGGCTTGGACAATAACTGTCTGCCATTTTTTTAAATCGGCTCCAATCTAGCCGTTTTACACAGGTCTGAAGGTCTTATTTAACATAAAATTTTTATATTTTACCTGAAACAAACAATTTTTAAGAATTTCAAGATCGCGATATTCAGTAAAATAAATAATAAGAAAACAAGGATTTAACCAAATTCATTTCAATATGTAACAACAATAATTAAATTTTAAAATATACTTTTTTTAAAGTAAAGATTCTTTTTTAAAATTCTTGATTGAGTTTATTTATTTTTACATTTTAGTAACATCTGTTCTGTCTAATATTTAATAATAAATGATAAACTTGAAATTTTATTTTGGAATAATTTAATATTGATTTGATTGATTTCAATTGATTGCACATCTTTATAGTAATATTTTTTTTTATAATTTTCTTTCTAAATATAATTCGCATATAAAAATGCCAAATCATTTCAAATGAGGTTTGCAAGGCCAGGCCCGGATTTGAAGAAAATTTAGGGCTCGGCGGTTTTATATTTCGGGCTCGGCCCAGATTTTCCCTGGATTTCTTTAAATCGGTCAGGCGTCAAATTTTTCTACGGCCTTGGCTTAAAAAAAAATTTTCAACATATATGAAATTCGTATATAATAACTTTTCAAATTATCTTATATCCACATTTGTCGTAAAAAGAGTAAGTTATCAAAACACTTCAATTCGACTGCTCTATGGTAATTCACTTATTTCCTGTTCTTCTTGTAACATAGTCTTTTATATTAGAATTAGTCATTTTGTCCTCTCTCCATGACAACATACATAATTGCCTGAATTTGGGACAGAGAAAAATGGAAATAAAATTATAGTTATCTAAAATAAATTTTTCTCTTAAAAGTGAATTTTATTTTAACTGTGTATCTTTGTTGAATTTGATTGAATACCATATAAAATAATGATTAGTTGAATAACATTTTACTAAATATATTCTCTAAGAATCGAAAAAATGAAAATAGAAAATATGATAGAATGAATGTAATAATTGCTCTATGCTACTTAAATATATTTAAGTTATTTTTAATTTTTATAGATAATAGTGACGATTTAGAATATTCAGCTTTAAATAATTCGGCCGGCCTCCGAACATTTCAAAATAAAAAATTATATTGATGTTTTTTAAGTATCTTATTAATATATAACTGGGTATATTAAATTAATTAAGTTCAAATTTGTTTCATTTCGGCTCTAATTATTTCAATGTTTTTTAAAATCTGTTTAATGTATGAAAAAAATATAAAATCTAATAGGGCAAAATTATGTTTTGATGTGATGTTTAAATTTAATGCCATTTGATTCTATAAACAATAAAGGACTTATTAAAAAAATAAATCGCCTAAAAAATATAAATATGATATTTGATTCCTCGTCAGAATTGTTTGATAGGACAGCCGTTAGTCGGGGTTCATTAGATGATCTTTATTCATCTATAAAGGCGTATTTTTAAATCTGATTCTATAAAGGCGTATTTTTAAATCTGATTTCAGGATCAAAATTTTCTTCTATAATTTTTGATCTATGGACAGATCATTTCAAGCGTCGAAATTATATCACGTTAGTCTTCGTCATTTAAATTAAAATTTTGATTTAAAATATTTAGCAACTAGAAACGTGACGCAAAAGCAAACTGGCGAAACCATATTTTCTGAGATCGATAGTATTATAAGAGGAATTCCATTTAAAAACAAAATAATACAGATGGTAACTGATTCTGGAGCTAATGTCAAAAGAAGCGTCAGATTGATGGATTATGAGTAGTGTTGTAAACGCGTTCGTGAAATGATGAACGGCGTTCCTTTTATTTTTGACAAACTATGGACGTGAACGCGTTCCTTTTTTATGACGAACGCGTTCGAATTTAACGTTCTTTCAATTTTAAAAAACACTTTTTATTTATATTTAATTGAAAAATTTAATATTAATCCGAATTTTTTAAGAAAAAAGTCCTATATTTTATAATCTTCTGTTTTTTCTTTTTCACTTTTCAATTTTTTTAACACGCCATTATTATAGTTTATTAATTTGGATATTATTATTTATATTTTAATTTAATAGATTAAACATAAGCATGGATATTATTATTTCATCATCATCATCTGATTCTGAAAATTTAAAATCAGATGAATTAACACCATAGCCCAAATATGCTAAATATTTTACAGAAGGAACTAATTCAATACTTACCAAATGTAAAATGCAAAAATTATGTTTCAAAATCTTCAAGTTTCAATTTAAAACGACATTTTATACTAATATTAATTATTTTATATAATATAATATAACTAAGTAAAATCATTAAATTTGAAGAAAAAATGCATTTGGGCTATTTGACGCCAGCAATAACGAATGTTAGTTTAAAATTTTTAAAAAAGTGGCCTAAAATATGGTCAACCCTTGATAGACGAAGCATTAAATGGGATTAATAAAAGGCATTAAACCGCTATCAAATTAATTATACATACATTTTATTTTTTAAAAGATTTGAACATATATATAAAGATCAATAAGATTTTTCTGCAATTATGCAACCAGTATTCAAGTTTCAATGGCCGTGGATAAAACTTCCACAGAACGAATCTATGAAAAATAAACTTATAACATTATTGAAAAAATGCACTGAAAACCCTAGAAATGATAATGCAAGAACTGTTAATTTCGAGATATACTTTTTTATGACGAGGAAGTAGAGGATGGATTGGAGGATAACTTATCTCAAGACAAAACAATAAATGTTTTTAATAAATCCCTCACGTTAAAAGAGTTGTTAATTAAGTATAATACAGCAATCCCCTCAACTGCCCCTGTAAAGCGCATTTTTAGTATAGCTAATGTCGTATTAAATGCCAAGGGTTCCTGTCTATCAGATAAAAAATTTTAAAACAATTGTTAATAAAAATTAAGAAAAAATTATAATTATATTATCAAAATAAAACTATATTATTTTTAACATGTCTAATATATTGTGTTATAAAATATATGACATTTATTTATATTAAATTAAATTTTAAAAATAATTTATCATAAAATTTTGAGCGAACATGCAAGCGTTCCTTTTTTTTGAAAGTAAACGTGAACGCATTCTTTTTAGAAATGTTTACAGCACTATTTATATCTGATTTAAATAAGGAAAATATTTGCAATAACTTAACCATCTTACCTACCCATTTTATTTTTGCAAGTCAAGTTCAGGCTCCTTTTCCTTATTCTGAATATTAGCATCTTTATCATTTTCATTCTTCCGTCAAATTAGACACGTATACATTTTCTCCTTCCTCATATCAATATAAAGTGCACCGGCGCAATTAGGTATTTCAGCCAATGACATTAATACTATAGACTGCCGATTAATGTATTTGAAGTGGCAAAAATTGAATTGAGTAGCGGTCATTTTGTGTTTGGAGCTTTTAGGAAAGAAACGTATGATAATTTCATAAATTTTAGATTTATTTTTATTATACATTATATTTATTATCATATTTTTTTACTAGATGAATAAAAAAACATTTTTAGAGCAAGTAATTTATAGTTATTTAAATATTTTCTGGTCTTTATTAACATTTACAGAGAAAGTAAAGGTGATGTTTAATACATAATGAATATTATTAGACTAAGCAAGTTAGAATTTATACCTATTGATGAGAATATAATTAAATATTCCTGCTCTTTATTAACATTTGCAGTTTATTACTTAATGAATATCTTTAATATTTTATATAGACTAATCAATATAAAATAAAATCTCTATACTAATAAGAATAAAGTTTAAAATTTTGTCATTTCTAGAGAAGTAAGGAATTATTGTTTTCTTTAATACTTCATGAATATTTTTAAGATTTTAAAATATATTTAGACTTATCAAGTTAGAATGTTTTTTATAAGAATTAATTTAATATTTTATATTTATATATTCAATAACAAAAATCAAAGTGAGGAAAGATATATTATGATTTGGAATTTATTATAAAATTTAATATATTTTTTATATTTTAAGAAAATGTTAATATATTGTAGTGCATATGGCTGTAACCAAAAATATTGTTCAGGAAGCAAATTATCCTTTCATAAGTATATTATCTCAAATTAAATATTCAGAATTAAATCTAAAGATGCAGCTTATATTAATAACCTATTCTTCCTTGTAAAAATTATTATGTCAGATTTGCTATGAAAATATTTAACATGTGATTTGGAATTTTAGAAATTACCCAAAAACAAAATTGAATATATATGATTTTATTGATAAATATTTTGAATTATATAAAAAAAAAAATTTGATATAATTTCTTTTGTATTTATTTTTTTAGCAAATAAAAAGAGGTTATAATTTATAAGTCTTTTTATATTTTATTATTCCTTTGTTGAATTATGTTATTCCTTAATAATTATAACTATCCATTTCTAAATATATTTATTTAATTTTAATTCACTAAAGTACAAAAATCAATGAATATGTATATTGTGAAAAATAAAATAATCTTATAAATTTTTACAATAATAAGTACAAATAATATATATGTTATATTTACTTCTAATAAAATAAATGTATTATTATAACCAAAAGTATATGGTATAAAGTGTCAAATAATTACCATAATTTTTCCTTGACCTATAAATATTCAAGTTAAATAACATATTTATATGATACTTGATTTATGCCCTTGAAAAATTACAGTTCTGTTAAATTTTTGTCTAAAATCTAATTTTAATTTTTGATTACATTAGGCAATAATCAAAACAGTATACCCATAAATGCTCTAAAAATGTTTTTTATTCATCGTAAAACATATAAGATTATAAATTAATACATTATAAAAATAAATCTGAAATTTATGAAATTATCATACGTTTCTTTCCTAAAAGCTCCAAACACAAAATGGCTGCTACTCAATTCAATTTTTGCCACTTCAAATTTGATTTTAGCATTACGATCGGCAGTCTATAGTATTAATGTCTATGATTTCAGCAGACATAAATAAATAACTTTTTAAATGGGATTTTGAACAACAGTTATTTCTCTCCCATTACATTCTTATCATTAACCAAAAAATTTAAGGAATTTTTTTAGCACTAGAATTGGCCTGGGTAAATCTGAAAAATTATAGGGTGCACGCTGCATTTTCAATGAGAAAATAACAAATTGCAGGCAATCTTAAATTAATACAACATTTTAATATTGGTCTTTCCTATGATTACATAGTAATTATGTAATAAATTTTTTCTATAAATAAGTGAAAAGGCACAATTAATTTTATAAAATGCCCACACCTATTGGTGGACATAATTAATTTAGCCATTTATCAGCCAACAAAAATAATTGAAGTTAGTAGCTGTAGCCAAATAGATTGACTACGACTAACCGTCATTATCATTTAAAATATTTCTGGCTAATGATTTATATATTTTTTTTAAATTTTTGGGCGGAAAATGTAAAATATTTTTTTAAAAAGTAAAATTATTATAAAGACAAATAAGGAATAGGGCTCACTGATTTAAAAATATAATCCAAAAAAAATCGACCAGGGTATTAAAAATTGATTAGGGTTATTCATGTTTTTTTATCATGGTTATAGCAAATAGCTATAGCTATTTTTTTTTATAAGCTGCAGCTTAGTCAAAGTGGCTCTAACTAAGCCATTTTCCATTTATGCCCGCACTGTTCATAGCCAAATTTTGCCTATAAGAATTTTCAAAATATTTTTAATATAAAACAAATCTTTAAAAAATTTGTAATTTAGAGAAAAATACTATTTTTGAGGTTTTAAATAAAGTACAACATGCACTTTAAACTTCGTCAAGTTCAGGGGATCCATGGTGTACAATATGTGGGTATCAGAGACCTGCAAAGGCCACCCCCCCCCCATCCATACAAGTTTCACTGAACGGCGTGTTATTTATTTTTTCTAAATTTGACTAGCTAGTTAAATTTTTTGGTACAAATTTTCCTACCACCACATTCTAATACCTATTTCCAATTATTTACCATCCATAATCAATCAAAGTTCTTTATCTTCCCTATAAGGCTATCTATTAATTTTTAAAAACAATGCTATAAATAAATTGTATTTCATACCTCTAATGTTGATAAATATCATAAATAACTCCTTTAATTTTTTGTAAATTTACAATATTGTTTAGAGATTAGACAGCTCATAAATGCAAAGAAGTAAGCATTGTAAATTATTTCCAAATAATAATTTTTTTTATAAAAAAATTATGAGGCTCTGGCAAAATTTTTGCGCACAAATTGTTCGCCTGTATTTCTTTGCGTACGAATTATCCAGCCTGTTATAATATTTTCCCTGGCTCGGGTAAATTTTTAAAATATTAGCTTGGCCCGTGGGCTGATTGCAGATCTTTATTAGGCATAAATAAAAAAACAAGCGTATAAAATTTAATGTTGATTTATTACATAACTAAAAAGAAATTCATACTAATTTATGCTGTAGATATATTTTTTTATATATTATATGATTTATATTTTGCTAAAATAAAAATATTTTAGCAGTATAATTATTTCGGCAGTATAAATATTTTGATAAATGTCAAAATATAATTAAAGTAAATCATTTCAAGTTCAAAATAGTCATAATATAAATTTAAAATTCTGAATTTTTATTACTTTTTTCCTAAAGCACAATAGATTTTACCATATGATTTAAAAATTTATTAATTGGGGGCAGAAAAAGGAGAATTTTGGTAGAGTTTAATGAATTTCAAAGATAATCATAATTTTAATGTATGGAATGTTAAAGAAGAACATATTAAATTTTATATTAAGCAATTTAAATCACTTCAGCCAAATATAAAAAAATTGATAGCAGGTATTCCATTTGAGAAATAATTAATGTGTAATGTTATAAATACTAGGAGGATGTGCTAAATCGTTTTTTAAGAAATCAGGATTATCAACGGCTGAACTCTCAAAAATATGGTATGCTTTACATCAAAATTAATATAGGCATTTAAATATTAGGTCCTTAGCAGACATAACTAAAGATTGTGCTTTATCGATAAATGAATTTATTATAGCTATGCATTTGATCATTATTTGTAAAAATGGAATCAATTTACCAAATAAATTACCCTCAAATCTTGAACTTGATTTAATTTCCTTTAAAACAGGTTTTTTAAGAAATAAATTTTATTAATATGTGCTAGAGTGAGCATTTTATTTATTTCATATATTTTAAAAATCAAGTTGATTTAAAAATGTCAAATGTTGAGAAATTTGCAATGAAAAAGGATATATATCAAACATTATTTTATTATAAAATATTACTTTATTTCACTATTATTTAATGCACCTAGATTTAAAAACTTAACATTTTCAAGTCTTGCCTAACCTGGATTTTTTTTGGCCCATTTTAAAAATTTGATTTGCTTGTAGTCTTGCCCAGTTTTTAAATAAATTTTGCTATATATTTTTTATAGCTCAGCCTTGATTTTGTAAGAAAATATTTTTTAAGCTTGCTCAAATTTGTGATGTTTATTTTTAAGCCTTGACAAGCCTGATTTTTTAAGAATATATAAATTATTTAGATAGGTCATGGGTTGGGCCTAGGATAATAGTTATAACTTAAAAAATTTGATTAAATATTGATTATTTTTCAATTTAACTGTAAATTCAAATGGATCAGCTTAAAAAAAAATACTAATAATGATTTATTTTAATAACAATTATTAGTATAATCATATTATTAATTGACAAGTTTTATTGTAATATATAATGATGATCAATTTTAGGATATTATATGACTAAATTGCATTTATTTAGTTTTATAAGGCTGTTGTAATTTAATATTTAAAGTGAATCCTTTATTGGAATTATGATTACACATTACAACTTTAAAATCAATTAGCCCCATATAGTGTAAATTATTTTTTAAATTAAAATTATAATTACGAAAGACTAGTATGGAGAGCTATTTTGACACCCTTCCCCATCCCTTTTTTATGAATTATTTGGATATTAATTATTGTTATTTACATACATGTTTTTTTTTAATTTTATGGTTTGCATGTAGTATTATTATATATTTATCTTTTTGTATGTTGTTTTGTGAATTTTCTTTTTGTTAAATAATAATATATACTAAATTGATTTAATATAATTTATTTTCTTGTTGAACTAATATTCAAATGTTTTTTTTATATGCAATTAACTTTTACCAAAATATATATATGGTGAATCCCATATCAAATCAACCAAGGTTAAAACCTGACCCCTTTCAATTTTTCTTAAATTTTGCATACAGGCAGTACATACTATAACTAAGAAAAAAAATGAAATTTTACCTCCCAATATGACTTGCCCGCTAAGATATGGGCGTTTAAAGCTCAGCAAAATGATACATTTTTTGACAAAATGCACCTCATTTATTTTCAAATATCTCGAGAAATAATTATATTAGAGAAATAATATAAATTTTATTATGTAGCTTAATAATAGTTCTTTAATATGACATAAAAATAAATATGATAGGAATCTGATTAATATCGAAAACCGGATGTATAAAGCCGGAAATTGTCACAGAAAAAAAAATTTTTCAAAATTTTATTTTATAGATTTATATATCACACTGCTTTATATTGGTACAAAATCCTAGACTGGGATGAAGGCTCAATGAGTTATACTCTTTTTATAGCTAAAATTGATCCAATTTAACATAAATATCGTCTTATTTAAAAATTATGTCTAAATGATAGGCACTTACTTTTATTTTTATCTTTAACAAAATTTTTGAGAGGTGGCTACGATAATGTGTTTTATTTAACACTTTAGTTAGATTTTGTCTTGAAATTACTTGACAAAATAATTCTAAATATATTATAACATTATTTGTCTCAAATTGCATAATTACATAAATAAATCATCCAAAGAATTTGAATAAATTTTGACTTTCATTTTGTATTCGACTAGGGGAATTAAAGCATGGAACTTTTGTGTTTTAGAAATTCTCTTTGCCCTCAAAAATCTGTTTTCAAGATGATTTTCCATGTTAATATATTCCCTATTGCTCACAAATATATAATTTATCTGATGTATATTATTTCTTGCATAGTTAAATAAATCCATTGTAAGCTTACTTGAGCTGCTAGCCGTTTAGTAGCATCCCCTAAACTGTCGCAGGGACTTTTACCATGTTCGGTTGCAAAAAAATGTCACTCACCCTTTATCTCAAAATTATTTTCATGATTGTAGAGATTAATGAAGTTTTTTTATTTTTATTATATTTTAGCAACTCTATCAAATCTTTCAAGGATAGGATCAATTTTGTTTGAATAAATAAAATGCACATGCTTTGTGCTTTAAACAATCTGATATAACCACAAAATTTAAGTTTTTTATGCTCTCCTCACGGTAAAAAACAAATGGGTGGATATTGGCCTGATTATTTGTCCAATGAACTCCTTTTGCATGATTCCGCACTATAAATGCATAGTTTTCTAAAAAGTCCGTAATAATTAATAATTTGCCAGCATTTAAATTGGATTTTAAAAGTTTTAAATAATAATTACTCTGAAGCTATAAACGAATGAGGATCAAATTGTTTAATTTAAAGAAATAATCAACGAATTCGTCAGCGGATTTTGTCAGCGTTTCGAGGGAGTTCGATCAACTGCTAACCATTGTTTGAATGTTATATAATTTATTGAATTTGCGTCAAATAATATATTAAGCCCTTCTTTTATTTTTGAAAATCCTCGAAATTTATACTTATTTAAATAGCATCCTGGCTGGACTGGATTGCAAAGACTTTTTACAATACAATGTTTATAATCGTTGATAGGAGGATAATTAATGATCAATATTGGTTGTTAGTTGTTTTAATTTACCACCTATTAAAATAAGCTTAAAATTTTGATGAAATGTACAGATACAAATGGTATGTATACCTAGATCACCTGCTAAAACACAGTTTTTAAGTCAGTTGAAAAATATGAATCATATATCAATTGAAAGAAAATTTTTGAAAACTTCTCGCAGTGAATAAATATTAATATAAACAATTTTTCCAAAATCATGGACTGTTAAAAGAATTATAGAAGAATTTTCCACAACAAATTTCATGGCCAGGAATTCCAAGCATTTAGTTTTGGAAAAGGATATTCTCTCGAATCCCAATAAGCCAAGTCATATTATTTCAGAGGATATTATGGAAAAATAATTTTTTTTTATAATTCTGAAGAAAATAGGCAAATAATTCCTGAAAACTGTGTTTTAACAGGTGGTCTAGGTATAAATACCATGTGTATCTGCACAATTCATCAGAATTTTAAGCTTATTTTAATAGGCGATAAATAAAAACAACTAACAACCAATATTTATATTTATAATTATTCTCCTATCAACGATTATAGACAATGTATTGGGCAAAGTTTTTGGATTCCAGCCCAGCCTGGATGTTATTTAAATAAGTGTAAATTTAACCCCGGATCTTCAAAAATAAAAGAAAGACTTACTATATTATTTGATGCGAATTCAATAGATTATATAAGATTCAAACAATGGTTAGCAGTTGATCGTACTAACCTCGAAACGCTGACAAAATCCGCCTCGTAGATTATTTAATTGAAAAATTAAACAATTTGGAGCTTCATAACAATCATTATTTCAAAACTTTTTAAAATTCAATTTAAATGTTGGCTAATTCCTAGTTATTGCGGACTTTTCAGAAAACTAAGCATTTGCAGTGCGCCATGCACAAGGATTTCATTGGACAATAACATAATAAAACATGTAAATTTTATGTTTATATCAGATTGCACAACGCATGTGCATTTTATTTATTTCAAACAATTGATCAATAGAGTCGCTAAAATTTATTATTTTTCTGATGGGGTAACACAATATATAATTTAAAAAAACTTCATTAATCTCTACAATCATGAAAATGATTTGGGGACAAAGGCTGAGTGGCAATTTTATGCAACCCAACATGGTAAAAGTCCTTGCGACAGTTTAGGAGGCGTTACTAAACGTTTAGCAAATCGAGCAAGCTTGCAATGCCCATATGAGAATCTGACAACAATTTATTTAAATGCAAGAAATAATACCCATGTACTAAGCAATAAGGAATATATTAACATGGAAAATCATCTTGAAGGCTGGTTTTATAGAACACAGAGAATTTTTGGAACATCTATGCTTTTATTCCCTTAGGCGAAAACAAAATGAAAGACAAAATTTATTCAAATTCTTTTTAGTTGATATATTTTAAATATAATTATAAATTTTGATTATATTATATGTAATTATGCAATTTGAGATAAATAAAGTTATAAATATATTTAAAATTATTTTGTCTAGGCAAAATTTAACTAAAGTGTTGAATAAAGCACATTATCCAAGCCACCTCTCAAAAATTTAGTTAAAGATAAAAAAAAAAAAGTAAGTGCCTATCATTTAGACATAATTTTTAAATATGATGATATTTATGTTAAATTTAATCAATTTTAGCCATATGAAGAGTCATAACTCCTAGAACCATGTTCATCCCAGTCTATGATTTTGTACAAATATAAAGCAGTGTGATATCTATCTACCGGAAGAAAATTGTAAAAAAAAATACCTTTATACATCCCGTTTTCGATATTGATTAAATTTCTATTATATTTATTTGTAAATCGTATTAAAGAACTATTATTAGGCTACATAATATTATTTAATTTATTTCTCTAGATTAAATGAGTTATATTTTGTCAAAACATACCATTTTCCCGCGGGCAGTGTTGGGAGGTAAAATTTCATCTTTGACAGTATGCAAAATTTAAGAAAAATTGAAGGGTTCGGGTTGAGAATTGACTTTATTTGTTGATTTGATATGGAATTCACCATATAATACTGATAAATTGTGATAAACATTATTATTTCATTACTTAAATAATTATCGTTAATCCTTATCTAACTCGATCCCTATAATCCCTACATTAACTATTCCAGTTTCTAACTTAACTAAATTGGAAATTATAGGGAATTGTGAATAGAGATTTACAGGACCATAGCGCTTGTACAAAAGTAAATTTGCAGATAAATATTCATTAGATTTAAGTCATAAAATTAAATCAGATATGTCAACAGTTTTATTAACTATTCCAATCTATACCTAAAACGAATTGGAAAATATATTTATCATCGATAATTTTTTTTATTCAATATTCTATAGAATTATTCGTTTAAGTTAAAATCTTTCGTATTCAAAATTTATCGTAAATATTCGAAACTTTTGTAAATATTAAAACCTATTCATAAATATTTAAAATTATTTGTAAGTATTCATGACTTCAATTCCTACATCTATAAATCATTTTTAAAATTTTGATGATTTAATTTTTCCAGGTTTCAAAATCAAATTTTCACTAAAATTCCAAATATTTTTAATAAAAATTTATTTTATAATTTTCATTCATAAGAAATATAGTCGTTACTATTTTTGAGCAAATAGAACACCAGTCGTTACTTGTTTCAAAAGTTAACGAGTAGCGCGTTCCGTTTTTTTGAGTAAAGGTAACACAAATACTTAAAAAATTTTCTTATCTTATTTTATTATATTCATTTTTAAATTATATTTTCAATTTCAAATATTCAAAACGTTTAAAAAATATTAAAAAACAGGAGGAGGGGGGATAACAAGCATAGAACCGAGGATGGAGATAAAATTAAGTCTACATATCTCGGGAGATTTTTTTTTTCTAAGATATAAATTTACTTTAGCATCTTCAGTGATTGTTGTTGTTAGCTTTTTTCCTAAGGTTTTTAAAAATTGAATTGTTTCTTCGCCAAAATTCCCTAATGTGGTGGTAACAAAGAGTTAAAAAAAATGTTTTCTAGTTGGAAATATTTGTTAATCTGGATGATTCGGCGGCCTCAATGGATGCGTGTTGTACGTTCTGCAAACGCATCTACACAGGTTTAATCCCATACCAAAAATTGCCCTTTCCACTAAAGAATGACACCGTCTGGTGTTTTATTGTTGGAAATAATTACGACTGGTTCTAAGGTGTAATGATTGGCTGATAATAGCGCCTGGTGTATCAGAGGAATTTGCCAATTTTCTTTTTATCAATAACAACAATGAATAGGAATGGCTCGATCCCTTGTCAAAATGTAGACACATACTTCTCTCCTGAAGAACTCTAGATATCATTAGGGTTCATTCCTAACTGCAATATCGTCATACCATACTCATGCACCCTTTGCAATACTTCGGTTGACAGAAAAGGGCACCTTTCCTCACACTGCAAATTTCCCTCACCAGACAATTAACAACTTAATCTACAAGGCGCTCACCTAACATTCATTTCACCCTAAAACCAGTCGGACTAAATATTTCCGATAATAAAAGACTAGAAGGTGGCACCATTAGGCCTTGGTCGAAAGGACAATCTTTAGTATGGTATTATACCATATAGATACTTTTGCGAAATCGAACGCACAATACGCATTCATTCCATCTGCCGAATCATCTAAACGTAATACCTAACTAGAAAACGTATTTTTTTTACCCTTTGTTACACCATCACATTAGGAAACAACAGAAGAAGCGATTCTATTTTTAAAAAACTTTAGGTAAAAAGCTGACAACAATCACTGGAGATAAAATTTATAACTTAGACAAAGAATATCTCTCGAGATATCTAGATCTAATCCATCCTCGGATTTATACCTTACAATATATCTTTTTAATCCCTCCCCCCTTCCCTTCCCCTCTTTTTAAATATTTTAGTTTATATAATTTTTAAAATATAAAAAAAATTATTACAAAAAATTATCAATAAAAGGAAAATTTATATATAATATTTTTTTATTAAGTAACGAGTAATGTGTTACGTTGTTTGAATAGCGATAACGCGTTCTTTTTTTCACAAAGTAACCGTAACGCAATTCTTTTTTGAAGTTTAAAAAACATATTCAAAGATTTATTCAAAAAAAATTTGAAGATTTTTTTGGGGTTTCAAGAATAATTTTAGAGAAATTTAATTATTAAATCGAACATTCGCAAATTGATATGAATACAAATATTATTTGATTCGTACGAATACGAATAATGCAGATATTTGATTCGTATTTTTGTAGGTATATTCTATATAGTATAAGCGCTCTTATTTAAAGAAAACTGATATAATTAAATTTCAAACCAGAGTTTGAAATAATTTTTTTTTTAAATAAAAAATTTGCGATTTCATTTTTAAAAGATTTTCTTATGCATGAAAATTACAAAAGATTTACCTAAAAACAAAAAATTTTTTTTTTAAGAATTTGGCATTCTTATGTAAACTTTGATCAAAAATCTTCAAAGATTTTTTTTCAATCTCTTGTTCAAAACATCTTGATAAGTTTTAGTAACCATTTTCTTTTAATTTTATTATAATTCTTAAGTTACTGGATTGAATTTGCCCTAACCTAACTCCTAAGGGCTCATTTAAAAAAAAAAATTAAATTCTTATCATTTTATTTTCATTCTTTAAAAAAATTATACATTATATCATTGGAAGGTAAGGTGGTTTTTTTTGTGTTGAAGCAACATATAATTTAATTAAACAATATCGATTTTTTTTTACTCTCAAATTACTTAGTTTTTTTTTTTACCGATTAGTAATATTTATAAATTAACCAGTTTTATTTTTTTAGCGAGGTTATTAATTTATCTTTAAAAAAGTAAATCAGATTAAATTTATTAAGCTGAATAAATAATTTGGCATATCCTCCCATCTGTTTCTAATTTTTTTTTTCTTTAGTCTAATTTAGACCTTTTGATAGTAGGGGTGAGAACCAATAGTAAACCAAAAAAAAATATAATTGAATGCAAAAAAAATACTACGGAAGAGTATCCTAAAAAAGATACTGTAAGCAAAATATATAGATACACCTCTTTAACAGAACAAGTGGCAAAAAAAATAATAATATAAAAGTGGCACTTTTAAAAAAAATAATGATATAAAAAATAGAAAAATCCTATCAATTTTTGCTAAAATCAGAAATAATTCTTTCATTTTTTTTATATATAATTAAATTTTAAAAACACCTTAAAAAAGGATATGTTCAAAAGCCTTTTCCGTGAATACCGAGGTAACGCGTTTCTTTTTTTTGAAGTTAACGTTTACAGCACTAATTATATGCCATTGTTTTTACCTAGGTCTATTTTAATTTGTTCTCTCATTCCTTAATAATTTTTTCAAAAAAAACGTGATTCAATAGAAAAAAAAATAGGGAATGACAATTTTTGGACCAGCGCTATACGATAGTATTGCTGTAAAATATTTACCCAAATAAACGAGTTGAGCTTAAAAAAAGAAATGTATATCAAAAGAGGCTGTATCCAAAAAATTAAATTCACTAACTTTCTGCACTTAGAATGAAAATAAATGAATAAACTATTTTAAATACAAAAATAAAAAATGACCATATAGAAATTTTTTTTATTATGATTTTCAAAAATTTATGATAGATTTCATTAAAATTTTAATATTTGTTAAAGTTTTGAAACTTTTACAATTTTTTTTATTGGACACAGTTTTATTATATACGTTTTATTCTTCTAAGTTGTTTTTAAAATATTGTTCTTAAAAACACTTAAAGAAAATTATTATTAATTAGCAATTGTTAGTTAATTCTTTTCCTCTAGTATTTATAAAAATGCCAATAATGATGTATTATTATTTTTATTATTCATGTTTATATGTGTATTTTTTTATCTAGCCGAATTACTCTCTATCATCGATACCGATCCAAACAATTCTTATGATCATCCTAAATCGAATGTTCTCGCTAAACCTGCTGTCAATAACTCTTCCGCCGCGGTTAAGAGAAGCCAGACCTTACCTTCCTCCGTACTTCTTGAAAAATTGTCTCTCAACGCTGGACGCCAGCGCGCACATAAAAATACAACGCGCGATATAGCCCATACGACCCTCAAAAATAAAGCTACTAACGGTACTCGTCAAACTTCTCGCCACGATTTCGCCCATCATATTAATAACGGCGCCCCGATTACGACAGATATAAGCCGCGATGATACTAATGTTGCGTATACCGCGAACGGTAAGCCTACCCATAAACACCATTGCAAAAGCAGTTATTCTGCGCGTCACGGTAGCGCCACTAATTTTAGTTGTTTCGTTCCCACAACATTGCCCGCCGATGACGGGGAGATTATTACTCCCAACTACGACCATCCAGAATCGCATTCCCATACATTTGACACTCATAAAATCGAAGATAATGATGTAAATATTTTGGCTGATATGCCTTGTTTTTTTTAAAGAAAAGGATTGGTTAGTTTTTTTTATATAAAAAATTTTAAAATATATTTCTTTATTATTATACTTGAAATTCAGAAATAAATTAAGCACATTTGTTCATTAAAATTTAGTAGATTTATATTTTGAAAAAAAATTTTATATTCCGCAGGTTTATTTCCCTAATATTTCGCCTTTTGCTATTCGTTAGTTTAAAAAAACCTCCATGTTAGTTATAAGACGCTTAATAGTACTTACTAATTGAGCAATAGCATGTAGCCCTGTGTTATTATTAAAACCTCATTGTAAATTGGTGATATATGTTTATATTAAGAAATATACACTTTGTATTTTTTTTAACGCAAACGAACGCGTTTACCAATTTGCACGATTTTATTTAAAATCCATTATTTGAAAGAAGAAGAAAAAACGAAAAAATAATGATTGGTTATTATACCTTTGAAGCACGTCTTAAAGTTAAAAAAAAATTGACCCTTTTTTGTTCCTTGTTGATTTTTATAACTTTTAAACTTACAGTATATATATTTTAAAAAAACAGTGAAATCTCTCTAAAAAAGGAGAAACCTCCCACTTTGAGGTAAAAATGAAAGAGGGAGTTTTTTTCTAAAAATGTTTTTGAGAATTTGCCTCATCGTGATAGATTTCAAACCTTGCATTATCATTACTATATACAACTACCGTGATCTTTGTTAGCTTGACTTCATTATAATGGGCCGTTTTAACAATGCTTTGATAATAAATAAGAAATATATATTTTTATATTTATACATTCAAATATTGTGACAGATGAATGTATCGTCGGAACATTTGGACGCCATAGAGGAACAGGAACCTTTGGTGTCGGGTATGTCGGATGATGACGATATCGAAAGTGATACTGACATTTCTTTCGACAACCCCAACGTTCAAAGTACGTTTCCAATAAGAAAAAAAAAGATTGTGGCAACTAAATAAGAGAATTATGAGAATTAATTTTTTCATTTTTAATAAAATATGTTTTTTTTTCTCCTTTTTTATAATAGCTGAGTCGCCAACAAGTATTGTTGTAACGTCCGATGACTTGCACAAGTACATTTTACATATCCCTAATATTGTTGAATATTTTATTTTGCAACTGAATTTAAGTTTTTACTGCGCTCATATTTTGCAAATTTTTTGGATTTGGTGGTCAACTGCAATATGTTCCACTCATCGTCAGTCTGAATGAGATACGAACCCCTCTCGTTGGAGAAATTAAATTTTTTTTTTAAAAAAAGGGTTCCGTTTTTTTTGGATCATTTTTCGTTTTTTTATAAATATTTATTTTTAAATTTTATAACAGCAATCAAACTCTAATCAATAGTTTGCCTCCTCCTTTTCCTCCACCTAGGACAAAACACGGTAGAAGCGCATCTCTTGATCTTAACAAATTATTCGGTTAAAATAATATATTTTTCATGACCCATCTATCGTATAAACTTAAACGCGGCCTATGGCAAAAGCGGATTTTTTTTAAAATAAATGATAATGTATAATCTCTTTAACATAGAAGTAAAAAAAAATTAAGCTTTAGACATAAAAATCGCTATTATTTAATTGTAACTTCTTTCAAAAAATGTATATTTATACATATCTTTTCACCGTCATTACGTGGAGTATGAAAGAATCTTAAGGTGCCTCTCCAAATAAATTTCCCTATTACGGAATTTGTAAAAAAATTTTACGGCGAGGGCGTTAACGTCTCCAGGCGGCTAATGGAGGTTTAATAGGTTCCCGGTGGTCTAGGTTTAGAATTGTTCATCGTCTCAACAGCAGGGAGGGAGGTGTAAAAATCATTTAAAGGGAGTTGATATCACAAATGACGTCCTAAATTCCCTAATGATCACAACTAAATAAATATATAATATTTTCTTCTAACGCACTTTTTAAGTAAATTGTACTTTAAAAATAAAATGAACCAAATACATTTTGTAAACTAGAATACTTCGTTTTAAAAAGTTGTTATGCGAATAATTTTAAGACCATGACTAGGTATACAAATTTCAAACAATTCCCCTATCCCTCCTCACTTCAAAGAAAATATTGTAAGAGGCCGCATATTTTATGGGGGAAATATTTGCATGTCCTATTAATCTAGTATTTCTTTCTTTTTATCAGAATGAATTAATAAACTATTGTAAAATATAATGAAATATAATATTTATAAAATCTCTAGCCAATATTAAAGAAGAAACTAAAGGCTTTAATTTGTTCAAGCCACCCGCCATACCTCCAAGAATGTCCCCGAATGCTCAGGTTTAAAGAAAATTGTTTAAAATATTTTATTTCAATGAAAGGAAGGGAGGGAGAAAGAAAGAAAGAAGACTTTGTCAGATAAGATTATTTTATTACTTTTTAAAAAAAACAAGATTTCTTATAATCATAACCATTTATGGGATATTTAAGCTCAAAAAAAAAGTCGATTTCAATATTCATCCTCCCCTAATCAATAAACGTCAGAATGTTAAACATAAAAATATTAATGATGACAAGTCTACTCTTAATAATTCTAACGATGTCGATCACAACAATAATAATTACGATACAATCACCACTACCGGACAGTTAAAAGATATTTTTGCTCCGGGTTTACGAGGGATCTCAAATAACGTTAATGCTGATCGCAATCAATGTCATAACCAATACCAAAAGAAAATCAACCAAAAAACATATTCGTTGGATCGAAACTGCCCAGTAAATGATAATCAAAATTTTTTTTAAATATCAGTTTATATAAAACTCTAAAAGAGAGAGAATAAGCATGTTATTGGGAAAAAAAATTGCTTGGCTTAGGCTATAAACTGATTTTTTAATAGTGTTGTTAAACGGCTCTATTTTGCCGATTTTAAATTAAGATTTTCGTGAAAATGATAGTGTTGTTAAATGGCTAGTTTTAAGCCGATTTTTAAAAACGGCTAACTCAATATTTCGTCCAGAAAAATATTACTTAAGCCTCAAGATTTTGCTCATAGAAGGAACAAAGGTCTAGGCATATATTATCGAAATCTCGAGACTTAGACAATATTTTTCTGGCTAAAATATTGAGTTAGCCGTTTTAAAAAATCGGCTCAAAATGAACCGTTTAACAACACTAGAAAATGATATTAGATGAGCCTCGAGATTTCGTTAATCGATATCCAAACCTTTCTTCCATCCAATGGCAAAATCTTCAGGCTTCCATAATATTTTTGGCTAAAATATTGGGTTAGCCATTTTTAAAAATCAAGCCGTTTAAGAACACTACATAGCATACTCTTCCCAGAATTAACTTGTTACAAAAAATAAATAAAATACAAGTATTGTTGACGGAAAGTTTTTTAATCAATTTTAAAAAAAAATGAAATCGGTTGTTTATATAAGATATAGTTAAATAAAACCCCTATTTGATTATATTATGGTTTAACTTCAGTAATACCATATATTGTCTAAATTAAAAATATAGGAATATATAACTTAACTGAAATAAGCAGTTCTTTATAAGTACTTTATACGAGTTTTGTAAAGAAAAAAATTCATAAATATTTTGGGCTTAAATTAGAACTTCAAATTCTGAAATATAATTTTGACCCGAAATAGTACGACATCGCACTCTGTCGCGACGCGTAAAATACGAAATCAAGTTAATTAATTGAATGCATTTATAGTTCGCTCTAAATTAGCTGTGATATCGTTTAGTACTCGTTTATAGTAAGCGTGTATTGCTGTGTATTTTTTAAAAAGCAAGCAAATAATAAATAAAATTTTTAATAACTGCGCAATGCGATGAAATGAATTAAACCAAGAATAAATAAATAAATGATTTCGAAATAGATTATAAATTTTACCTATTACTAGCTTTTTTGAAATATGCCCAGCAATACGTGTCCCACCGCTTGGGTGATAAACGCTTACTATAAAAGAGGCTTACCTTCCTTACAACTTAATTTTATTAGAGCATTGTTTTTTTCCTATCTTACAGGACTGTTAGATAAAAAGTAGAATAGAGCTAAGGCTAACGAAAGCTAAAAGTTAAAAATAAAGTTTTCGATGTAGGGTTATAAAAAAAAGAGTATATATCAATTATGATTAATGTACGAATCAGAGATCTTCGCAACATTAAAAATTCCCTTTATTTTTGGTTTTTTTTCTAATATTTTTATTATGCGTGCACCCTACCAGAAGTTCTTTAACCAACACATATGATATGTGAATCCGCTAGCTATTGTATTAATTTATCTAACTCGTCAATCAAATCAAAATGATTGATGGACATCTTTAAAACAATTAAGATATATACAAACGCGTACGCACCAGGGCCAATGCCAAAAAACTCAGATGCTGGCTAAAATATTTTTTAAAAAATATTACTATTTTTATTTTATAATCGATGTAAAAATGAGAATGGGTTGAATATCTTGTTCGTTGCATTGTTAAGGCAAGACAATTTTATTCAAATATTATAAATGCAAATTATATTATATTATTACATTTTTAGATCGTATATTTTCTTTATTTAAAATTGTTATCAAAAAAATAAATTACAAAAAATACAACAAAATAATTCTTTATATTTATATATATCATATAAAATTCCATAAGTTCAGGCGCGTACGCAGCGGGGGGGGGGGGGGGGGGGGGATATGCAGATGCCGGATTATATTTTTCAAAAATTGTTAATATTAATTTATATTTGTTAATATTTATTCCTATCTCATATATATTTAATTACATTTATTTATCACATTCATCTACTAAATTATTTTATCAATTAATTTCGATTTCAAGTTTTCCTTGGCGTAATTTACCTATAATTTTCAAATATTAGTGGCGTAATATTTATCTAAATTTCTAGTCAAATAATAATTATCTCTGAAACTCCTTGTCTGACAGGGAGAAAGAAATTGCAAGCTTGTCCAATGAGATCGAGTCTCCATCAAGCAGTAACTGCTTTTATGGAGTTAGAAGAGCCGATTATTAATGTTGTTATGAAATATCACAATGGCCTGAAAGAAATATTTCCTCAGAAGCAAGAAAATTATTGAATTCAATACTTATTATTTTTTTCTCATTGGAATGTATTATTTAATTATACAACTATTTTATGTAATACTTTTCAAAAACATGGCATTGACTTGATTAAGTAGATGAGAATAGCGGAGAGCATTTTATTAGAACTCAAGGAAATTAGGGCTAATGTTGATGAAGAATTTCAATTTTATATGTTATTGTTGAGTCAAAAGGAGAGCTATACGTGTTTAATATTTGTCTCACTCAATTTGCAGCAAGGCAAGCTCATCGTCAAAACATTAGTATAAGATCAGTAGAAAAGTATTATAAAACTATAATCCAAATAAATGAATGGTTTTTAATTCATCATGCAGCACTTACCAATCTGCAAATATTACTTCCACAAAAGCCTTCCCAATCTTTTTCAGATGGTGATAGAAAAAGAAAATATTTACGTTTGATGCCTTATTAGCTGAATTACTATGATTAAAAGATTAACTATACTTGATATAGTCCCAAAGAGCTATGGAAGCTTTGCATTATAACACATTTAAGATTATATTCCCAATGTATTAAAATGGTTATAAATATATTAGCAACTCTACCCATTAGTAAACTAATGAGAGAACATTCTCTTTTTAAGAAGAATAAAAGAGCTCTGCCATTTGCAGAGCACGGCCCGGATTTTTTTTTCAAAATTTTTTATTTTCAGGCCCCGGCCCGGCTTTTTTAAATTCAGACCCGGCCCTAATTTTTTTTTAAATAAATTATATTTATTTTTGATTTTTATAGCTAATAATGGCAATTTCAAATGTTTGGTTTTAAAATATATAGCCCAATTTTGGGCCAGGCCCTGGTATATTTAAAAAAATTAAAATACGGTCCGACCCGGGGGCCGAGCTTGCAAGTCTCTGAAAAACATACCTATGATGTAAAACTTCTGAAAGTAGATTGAATGGTTTGGATCTTTTGAATATTCATAGTCATTTAACGCCAAGCAAGGATGAGATAATTGAAAAATTAGCTTAAAACATACAAAATACAATTATTCCTATGAAACATTTTGTGTATTAATTTTTATTTCCAACAATTAAATTTTTTATACTTTATATATAAATTTTAAAGGCTCAAAAAATTCAAATTTCTATTTTGGGTCATTTAAGTGATTCATATGGTGGTTATATTCACTTTATATTTTATAATTCACATTTATTTTATAGTTTTTCAATGCCGCCATTTATATCCGTTTAATATTTTTTAATTCACATTTATTTTATAGTTTTTTATATGCCGGTTTATATATATAATTTTTTTATAATTTACATTAATTTAAAATTGTGTATTAGAAATAGTTATTAGTCCTAATAAATTTATGCTCAATGATATTTCTTAAAAAATTTTATTATCTCCCACCTTCCCTTCCCCGACTAAATTCCTGCATACGCGCCTGCATAAGTTAATCTATAAAGTACATTTAACAAAAAAAGATAAAAGATATTTTTAAGTTAATAAATTATTCTGCTAAAATAAAAGTAATGTTAATATCTTTTTAAATGTTTAATAAATAATAGAAAATAAATCATTTAAGTTAATAGATACTTGATGAAAATAAAAGAGATTTTAACACTTTAGGATATGAAAGAAATACCAAAACAAGATAAAACGATTGTAAATCATTTCAACATTCCACCCTCATATTAAAATCGTTATCTGCACTGCCTTAGTAAACATCGCAATGAAGGTAGTTGGCTATATAAGAATTTTTACCATTAGGCTATATAAAGAAATCATCAATTATATCTAGAGATATTCAAAATTAAAGGGAGAGTATTTTGCCCGTCTCATTTTTTAGACATTTAGAGCCCCATATCTCGGCCGCTGTTTGGAGTTGGAAGCTAAATTTTATTTTATTTTTTCTTCTTAGTTATAACATATGCAACCTCAAGTAAAAATTTTAAAAAAATCTGAGAGGATCGGGTTGGAACTCATGTTGATTTGTCATGGAATTCACCATATATATTAATTCGCAATAATTTATATAATGCTGATACTATAGCCTCTCCATTTAAAATAATAAGATTCAAGTCGGTTTCCAAATTTTTTAAAATAGGCCTGCGGGTAAAAATTTGAACAATTGGGTTGGGTAAAAAAATTAACAGTTAATACTGGCTTATCTGGTTAAGTTAAAACTTCAATTTTATAATTTTAATTTACTTTGGCGTTTAATCTAATGAACACTCATCAAAAATTTTATAGTTCCCATATTGTCAAATTATACCTTCATTTTATAGAAATTTTTTTATGTTCTTTAGATTAATCTTGCTATATTTGAACACGAGGAATCTGAGAAAACGAATGGTAAGATAACATATATAATATTACAATCTAATTAATAAAAATTTAACATTTGAAAAAAATTAATTTTTTTCCAGATTCATGCCATAATCATCTCCCATTACAGGTATATAATACTTTTTAATATTATGGATGGTATGATTGAACGCAAATGTTTTTTGTCAATATAAACAGTTTGACCCCTATACTCAGTGGCAACCCATATATTTAAGGGGATGGGGTACAAATTTTATGGGTATCCCCCCCCCCAACTTCCATTTTGCCAGACCTTTGGCCATGCTCCGTCTATGGTAAATTCTAATTACAGATTTTTGTTTACATTATATTTATCCTTTTTTATATCTTTATTTTTACAAAACATGCATATTCGTGAAGTTGGTCAAAAGATATGCTAGTATTTAGTACTTTATTTTACCTATGATTGCTTTAACCAATGTAGTAGCCAGTATAAAGAAATAAAATTTATTAACAACAAAATTTTGTCCCGCCTTATAATTAAAAATCGACTGAAAGTGTTTATTTTGAAAATTTTATCAAGGTTAGTGCTTAATAATTATATTAATTTAATCCGTTAACTATTAAATGTACCACATTCCAATTTTAAACTGTGTTAGTTGGTTCAGTGGAATAGAACTTCAAGTATTACTCACCCAGAAGGGAATTTATAGTATTGCTACAGCGAAAGCTAATAAAATTTATAATTGCCAGTTTCCAACTGAAAAAGAATTCAAAAAGACGGGTCGTGGATCATTTATCGAGAAGAAGGCAACAATAAATGGTGTAGAATTACATGCCACTAAATGGCATGATAAATATGTAATTATTCTAAGTACGTATAGAGTAGTTATCCTGTTGAAGATTGTGAACGGCTTGATAGAAAGGAACGACGGAAAATTAAAATTCCATGTCCAGTAGCTAAAAGTTTGCAATAAAAATATGGGAGGTGTAGATTTTAATCGATTTATTGATTGCTTTAATATCGAATATAAGATACTATAAATGGTATTATAGTATTCCATAAACTTGATATGATGCACATAAATTTTTGGTTAATGTAGACGAGATTTTGTATCTTTAAGGTTACCAGTAAAGGAACAAATGTCATTACTTATAAATTTAAATAGCAGAGGTACTCTGTAAGCATAATAAAAATATGACCTCTAGCCTAAAAAAACGAATATTAATTGATGCCAAACATAGAAATGTCGCAAGGGACCTACAAATCTAATTCCGCAGAAAGAAATAAGACATGATTTAATAGCTCATTGGCCAAAATATAGTACAAATACAAAGGCGCTGTGCAAGAACCCTAGGTGTAAATTGGTTACTAAAGTGATATGTACCAAAGTTGTGTTTCATTATATTTTACTTCTATAAACGATTGTTTTAAATCACATGAAAATTAATATAAATTTGTTTTATTATATTATTTATCAAATAATAAAGTTTTATGTCTTTATTTTGATAAATTTGAAATTTAAAGAACATAATACCTTTACACGCATTGTATATATTAAATATACAATCTCTGAAATTTTATTTTTTTTGTTTATGTAGGGTTATTTATAGACAAATATAGGTTTTTTAAAAAAAATTATATCATTTATTGATATGTTGCGTTTGCGTAATAGGGTTAAAATGAATCCGTGTAGTGTAGGGGTCACTAAAACTGAACAAAAATAGTATCATATAGAACATTATTAATAGGATTTTGGTTGGGAAGGATCGATTTAAAGGGATCAAGATAAGAAGGTTCGTCACATTTTGTGGTGCCTTATGGATTTTATAACATAATAGTTTTTTGTCTTTAATAAAATTAGAATAACGATGTTTCTCAAGACCTCAAATGTTCCGCAGAGTAAATATATTATTATTCTTTTTTTACAGAAATACATATTTAATCGAATCTTTACTTTAACATTGCTCAGTGTTGTTTTTTTTAGAAAAAACTTTACTCTTGGTAAGGCAAACCTGATAGACTAAAAAGAGTTTCAGTTCCATAAAAATATGTAAAAGGGGTTGTTTCCGGATCTTAAATCTGACGTGGTTCCAGATTCCAGTTCCAACCAATTAAAGTAACGATTTCGACTTTATCAAGTCTTTAAAAAATAAAACTCATACCATAAATGATTTGAATTTTAGTTGATTTGCTAAAAAAAAATCATATTCGCTATACTCCTAACAACATATATGTAAAAATTAATATGCATTTTTAAAACCTGATGCTGAAATCCTTTAAATGAGTACTACTTTCAGTTCCTAAAAATTTTTTAAAAGGGTTACTGGGTTCTTGTTCCAAAACTGTTTTTGACATTATAATTAAGATAATAATTACTAATTTTTTGAAATATTTTGCAGTAATATTTATTTGAGTGACATTTATTATTTATTTGGATGATGAACTATCTAAACATTGGAATTTTTAAACATTATTTCTTACCAAAAGTAAAGTTTTAAAGAGAAAAAACAGTTTTGAACATAGCGTAAAAATTTTTTGTTTAAAGGTGTATGTTTCAAATGCCCTCCTATAAAATTTTTAAAAAAAGATGGATATAAAACATAATATTTAGCCGACTATATAACTATTTATCTGATGAAGTATCATTTAAAACTCGTAAAATATTATTCTAAACATACTTTTTAAAAAAAATGATATACTTTAAAATTAGTAAAATGATAGCCTTACAGGTATTAAATAAAATGATATACTTTAAGCTTGAAATAATATTTCATACAAGTTACTTTAATAGCTATTTAATTTTTATTAAGCGACATTTCTATTTATTACGTCTTGTTTAAAAAAATCTCCCTTGGAATATTATTTTCTGGACATGGTACTACGACATTAAATCCGCTAATAAATATATTATATGAAATAAAATCTATACATGTTTTTCTACTTTAGAACTATTGATGCTCTATTGCATTACAAGAAACAAAATGAAATGCTCATTCAGCAAAACTCGGGATTGTACGAAGAAAATAAATTATTGAAGGAAAAGGTCGAACGTCTGAAGAAAGTCATGAATACAATTAATATATTATAAGTGTAAAATGGCATAGATTATATATATTTTAAAATACTTTTGTTATATTATAATTTCTCTCCTTTTTTATATTTTTTTTTTAAAAAAGAGAATTACATGGTATAATAATCAACTAACTTATAATGTATGTTAATTCGTATATTGTAGTTGAAAGTAATTACCAATAGCCCAAATAAGCTCAAAATGTTTAAAGCTAATTCTTGTAAAAACATTCGCACAATTATATTTATATTTAATTCCAAAATATCTCAGTATTTTTACAGATATTATTGATAAACTTCTGCCAACCAAAATGATACATTTTTTTTACAATATATTTTCAAATATGGTTTTAGAATTACATTTTTGTATTTGATTTTATGAATAAACAAAAGTATTTTTTTAAATTATGTTTATTATTAAATTTATGATGGCTATCCTTACTGCTTACCCAATTTAGGCATTTATTTAAATAAGGGTAGAGTTGGGCAGGTCATCCAAAAAAAGAATCTAGATACAGATGCAGATTCTTTGTGATAAAATGAATCTTAGATACAGATACTACTATCTTTTTCAAAGATTCATGATAAAAGATACTTGTATCTTTTGCCTAATCAGAGTATGTTAAATACAAGATACTAGTTTTTATTATTTATTTGTGAAGAACATAGCATATGCATATAATAAGAATGAATATATACAATAATTAATAAAATATTTAATGATGAGTTAATTATAATAATCAGGCATTTTAATATTAGTAGTAGCCCAATAGCATAGATAGGGAAGGGAGACTAGAATTTTTAATGGGAGTTGAAATATGAATTTGCAAAAGAGTATTTAAAATAGATTTATTATTTTATAAGATAATCAAATTTTTCAAATAATTTATCATTAGACCGACCTTTGTCGTTTCAGCCTACTTAACATTGTGCCAAAACAAAAAACCTTTCAATTGGAGCTGATGAAGGTATTGCAGTATTATATTTAAAAAAATTTCCTTAATGAAAGGATAATAAAGAATTCTCAATGTATTTTGACTTTCTTTAATATAATTTAAAACTCCCAGTTCAATGTTATTTGTATTATTGAACTCAGCAACTGTTTCACCAAAAGAAAAATAATCATTATTTTCTTTATTAGATGTTAAATCTATTGGTGTTATAGTTTGAACTTGATTTTATACTCTAGTACTACATTTAGAGCTTCTTTTATTAATATATTTTGAAAGTATTTTTTTTATCATCTGGCTCATTCCATAAGTTCTTATAATATGGATGTAATATTGATGTCAAAAAAGCCTCATTATATTCAAATCATAGGAAAATATTTTCTTAAAATCTATTGCCCATACCACCTTAGGCAGCTTTTAATAATGGTAGACAATATTGTAAACTTGAATTTTAAGATAACATGCCCCTTTTAACCACACATAAATAATATAATTTAATATGTCTAACAAAATTTTTCTTTAACCATTTATCATTTTTTTGTTTATATAGGTTTTACATCTAGCCTGTACATTGTCTTTTTTAACTTTTATTTTTAAAACATTTCCGTACAAAATTTTAAGATTTGATTCACGGGAACTTATTTCTAATTTAAATTTCACTACCATGAGTGTTAATCATCCTACAAATTTAAAAAATATTACATAAAATCAAGTTAATAAAATATAATCTTTATTTATTTCGTTTTGGTGTTATTTTTTATCTATATACCTTAATATGAGTTATAAATTTTCCAACTAAATTTGATTGTCATTATATTTAAAATATGGTGGAAAAAAATAAGAAAATTAATACAAGATTCTAGAAGAAAATAAGCTGTGATATGTTAAATTTTAAACATGAATATTAAAAAGAATCTGTATCTTATGTCAAGAAAATGAAAAAGATTCTTTTCAGAATAAAGGATCTTAAATACAGATACTAGTATCTTATTAAAAAAATCAAAAAGATACTGAGTACAAGATACAAAAGGATCTTGTATCTAAATACAACTATTCGCAGTACTGTCTAACTGAATAAGGGCATATTGAAATAATTAGTGAGATTCTTGCTTAATATAGACAATTAAAATAATCTTTTTATAGTGGTTAAATTAGAAAAATTTATTTCAGGATTAATATTATTTCGCAATTACAAACTTTTATACGCCAAAAATGGTATAAATGTTTTTACTAAATAAAAATTACAAGTAAAAAAAAAAAATTGATATAAATCATGATTTAAACTACGATTTATATCAATTTGATTTAATCGTGTCACCCTGAGCCATGAGAGAACAGTAAATTCCCATAAATATAATTTAAAATCTTTTTTATAAAAAATGGTACCCATCCAAAAAAGAACTATTCCCGATGACTGGCGAAGAAGTATAATTATCCCAGTATACAAGGGAAAAGGTGATCCTTTAGATTGCGGGTCTTACAGAGCTATTAAACTCTTGAAACATGCAATGAAGGTATTTGAGAGTGTGTTAGAGAAGCAGATAAGGGAACAAACTAAAATTGATGAAATGCAGTTTGGTTTTACATTGGGGAAGGGCACAACAGGCCAATTTTATGGTGAGACAGATACAGGTGAAGTATCTTGCGAAGGGAAAGAAACTGTATTATGCGTTTGTTGATTTGGTGAAAGCATTTGACAGGGTGCCGCGTGAGGAGACTAGGTCTTGAGAAAATCAGGCGTGGAGGAATGGTTGGTTATCGCAGTGATGGCAATGTATGTGGGAGCACAAACAGCAGTACAGACGGATTATGGTGATAGTGAAAGCTTTGAAGGGAAGGTAGGACTTCATAGGATCCGTCTGAGTCCATTATTATTTATCTTGGTAAAGGATGTGGTGGCTAAAGAAATACGTGAAGGACTTCCATGGGAGCTATTATAGATGACCTTGTATTAATGGGAGGAAGAATTGAGGGATAAAATATGGCTATGGAAGCAAAGGGCATGAAAATGAATATAGCAAAGACAAAGGTGATGATTGGTGGGGAAAATCTAAAGATGGAGGAATCCAGTAAGTGGCCTTGTAGTGTATGTGGGAAAGGAGTTGCTAGAAATTCAATCCAATGCACCAGATGCCATAAATGGGTACATAATAGATGTAGCGGGAAAAAAGAAAGTTTCATAAAAATTAGCAAATTTCCTTATACTTCAAATGACAATGTAAATATTGATTTTCTCCTTCATATACTTAATCAAGAGGCTATTGATAACATTAATATATCCCTACAATCAATTGGGGAATCTCTCATTAAAAGAAAACGCTTATGTAAAAAGAAATATTCGAAGAAAAAAATATCTAGAGTTAAAAAAGTTTTTACGACAAAAATTATACCATTATCTTTCAAATGATGGAAAATTCGATGAAATTCTAGATACATTAAAAATTAAAAAATTATATAAAAGATATTTATTATTGGAAATTTGTTACATTATTTAAACTCTAATGGGTATTTGCCAACTCTGCTCCTCAGTTTAATTAGTAAATTTAATAGAAATTTAAAATTTTTTAGTATAAAAAGTAGTATAGTAAACGAACGCGTTCAAAATGAATACGTTCGTGAACGAAGTTCGATTTTTTGAAAAAAATAATGTAAGGCGTTCCTTTTATTTTTGACGAACTTTGAACGTAAACGCGTTCTTTTTTTATGACGAACGCGTTCTAATTTAACGTTCGTTCAATTTTAAAAATACTTTTTATTTTTATTTATTTAAAAAATTTAATATTTCCGAATTTTTTTAAATAAAGTATTATTTATATTTTTTTAATCGGCTGTGTATTTCCTTTCCACATTTCAATTTTTTTAACACGCCATTATTATAATTTATATTGTTTATATTTTAATTTAATAGATTAGCATAAGCATGTATATTATTATTTAAGCCTCATCTATTTCTGAAAATCCAAAATCAGATCAATTATCATCACCATGGCCAAATATGATAAATGTTTTACAGTAACATCCTATATTGAAGGAACTAATTCAATGCTTAGCAAATGTAAAATGTGCCCAAAATGTATTATATCAGTGTCAAAATCTTCAGGTTCCAATTTAAAACGACATTTGATTGTAATATTAGTTATTTTATATAATATAACTAAGTAAAATCATTACATTTTAAGAAAAAATGCATTTTGGATATTTGACCCCAACAATAAATATAGTTATTTTAAAATTAAAAAAAATTAGTGGCCTTAAATATGATCAACCATTAATAGACGTTGTATTAAATGGGATTAATAAAAGGTATTAAACCTATCACTCTCAATTAATTACATATATTTTATTTTTTTTTAAGATTTGAACATATATTTTAAGATCCTTTCTGCAATTATACATCCAGTATTCAAGCTTTAATGACCATGGATAAAACTTCCACAGAACGAACCTATTAAAAATAAACTTATAGCGTTATTGAAAAAAATGCTTTGAAAACACTAGAAATGATAATGCAGGAACTGTTAATTTTGAGATATCCTTTTTTTGTCGAGGAAGTAGAGAATGGATTGGAGGGATACTTATCACAATTTTTTTAAGCAAATAACAAAACAATAAATGTTTTTAATAAATTTCACACGTTAAAAGAGTTATTTATTAAGTATAAAACCGCAATCCCCTCATCTACCCTTGAGCGCGTTTAGTATAGCTAATGCCGTTTTAACTGCCAATCGTTCCTATCTATCAGATGAAAATTTTAAAAAATATTGTTATCAAAAATTAATAAGAAAAGTTTTATATAAATAAAAACAGGGATCCAAACCGAACCTGAACCGAACCGTTAAACCGCTAAAATAGGTATTTTTTATCGAACCTGAACCGAACCTAAACCGCTAAAAAAATTCTAGCCGAACCTGAACCGAACCGTTAACCCGCTAAAATCGGTATTTTTTATCGAACCTGAACCGAACCTAAACCGCTAAAAAAATTCTAGCCGAACCTGAACCGAACCGCTAAAATGTCTCTGAACCGGTTCGAGCATCATGATTTCATTCTTATAATACATTCAAATTATTTTAAAGATTATCATCAATCACATTTGATTGATAAGTGTCGGTCATAATTTTTATAAACTTTAGTATATTGTCATTTTAAAATATTTAAAGCTTATAAATTATAATGCTTAGAGAAAAATTAAATCCAAAATATTATTATAAATGACACATCAAATCAGATATCATATTGGCAGTACCGGCTACCCAAGTTAGTATGGAAAGATATTTTTCAGCAATTAAATTTATATTATCTCCTTATAGATGTAATTTGAGTGAGACGAATTTCGAAAATATATTAATTGTGCGGCTAAATAAAAAAAATTTAAGAAAAAAAAGTAAAATATTGTTCATATTAAAATTAATCATTGATATATATTTTTATATTTATAAATTAAATAAATGAAGGTTTTATACATGTGTTTTTAAAATTAATGATAAAATAAAAAAAATACATATACATAATTCGAATATAGGTTTGGATACAAAAGTTTTCAAACCGGTTCGAACCAACCCGATATTTTAATTTTTTACGAACCGAACCTGAACCTTGAACCGTTATTTTTATCTGAACCTGAACCGAACCGATATTCGTTTCGGTTTGGATCCCTGAATAAAAATATTATTTGATATATAATATTGAATTTATAATTATATTATTAAAATAAAACTATATTATTTTTTAAATGGCTAATATTGTGTTAATAAATATAAGGCATTTATTTATATCAGAGACCTGCAGGCCCGGCCCTAAGCCCGGTCAGGGTACCAGGGCCGGGCCGTATTTTAAATTTTTAAATATACCCGGGCCGGGCCTGAAAAATTTTTTTTAAGAATTCCCGGGCAGGGCCGGGCTGTATTTTTTTAAAAAATATATACAACATGGATTATTATATTCGTCAATTAGATATGGTTATTGTTATAATTGTTGAAAAAAAGAAGAAATAAATGTAATTCAATACAGAAAATGTCAGTCATTTTCTGACAGGAGAATTAGTTTTTTCCTTGTGGATAGGAAAAAAACGGGATCATCAGATGTTCGGGTTTTAAAAGGATTCCTTTGTTGGCTATTTTTATTGGATTTAGTGGAGAAGATGTCAGCCGGAGGTTTAGAAGAATGGACCTGTGGGAGTGAAGAACTTGTGAAGCGGGATAAATATGATTTGATTTATAATACTTTTTAATGGATAGATAAATATAATTATGATATACTTAATTATGAATAAAGTTGGATTTGTTTTATGGATTTGTTTAGTTGTTAAATATGGGTCTAAATAGTTATGATTATATATAGTTATGATTAATATAATGTTTGGTGAAAGTTAACACTAGCTAACACTCATAGTATCTATTACTAATAAAATTATAGTTTTCCTGCCATGGAATAAATACGGAAAGGATTAAATACATTATTATATAATATATGTTATATTTTTTAGTAAAAATATCAATTTTATTTATTTTATAAATACATAATATTTTTAATATACTAAATGTCTGTTTAGAATAAAAAAAAAAAAATTAGTATTGTTAAACTGTTCGTTTTGAGCCGATTTTTAAAAACGGCTAACTAAGTTGTTTTTTATCCAGAAAAATATCATGCAAGCCTGAAAATTTTGCTCATAGAAGGAGCAAACTAGACATATAGTATCGAAATTTCGAGGCTTAGTCAATATTTTTTAAAAATCGACTCAAAACGAGCCGTTTAAGAACATTAGTTAATATACTTGCTTATTAAATGATAATACTCGCCGAAAAATATGTTAAAATACGAAATAATGAATTTTTTGAATATACCAGGTCGAATTTAATTTTTAAAAATTCCGATTGGAGCCTAAAAAAATTTTTTTTTAATCTGGGTCGGGCCGTACAAATGGTACCTCTGCTCTCTGATTTATATAACGGGCTTGTGAAAGTGTTCTTTTTTTTGAAAGCGAACTAGAACGTGAACGCGTTCGATTTTTTTAGAAATGTTTACAGCACTAATAAAAAGTGAAAATACCCGGTTATTGATAAGTTAGCAGCAAAATTTCAACCATAATCCGTAATTTCATAAAGCGCCATCTATTTTTTCATCAATTTTTGGAGTCGATGGCGTCGCCAAGGTTTTGATAAGATATATTTATTTAACAAAGGTGTCTAAATAAAAAGCAATAAAAAATCGAAACTCCCTTTTTTGTTTAAAAACACATGCAAAGCAAAATAGGTAAACCGGAAATTAACGGGTTAAATTGGCGCCAATTTTTATTGTTTTTGATAGCTCTTTAGAGTTTTTTTACCCACAATTTGCTATATTATTTCACTATAAATAGTTTTTGATATATAAGCATTTTACAGATTCCAAAATGGCTCTTTTTGCACCTTTATCTCGGGAACCAGGTGTGCTAGCGAGCTAAAATAAACGGCCTTCTCATTTTCTTAATTATCTAAATAATTCCAGAAATTTTTAACAATTTTAAGAGGTCGCCCGAATCGTGATCGATTTGACGTGGAATGAATACCCATATAAATATCTTGATAAAGGTTAATTAATCAGACCCGATACTGGCAGCATAAAAAATTTTTTAAAATGGAATTTGCCAAAAAAATAATTTTATGTATCAGTTGAAGATGTAGTGGGCATATAATATTCATTTACTGCTCTTAATTTCCCTTTGAAAAAATTTACAAAATATATCCAAATTTTTAAAAATTTCTAACAGGCTTAATTTATTTTTTTAATACGTGCCTAAAATTTGACCTCTGATAATAAAAATTTTCAAAAAATAATAAAATATCTCCAGGTATCAAATGAAAGCTAAAATGATATTTTTAGTGTTATTAACATGGGGTCCAAACCATAGCTTTGTATAAAATTGCTTAAATTTTCCATGAATCTATCAATACCAACACTTTTTTGATATATCAGAAATAATTTATTAGTAATACTCAAATAATCGATATCAAAAATAAATACATATTAAATGCAAAATCAACATAACACTTTTCATCAAGGAGACACCACTTCTATCAGTAAAAGCATTTTAAACAATACCAGATAAACATTTTGGGCCAACAGTAAATTAAAATTTTAAAAATATAATCATTACCATTGATATATAAGTTTATTTGATATAGTTTTACAATGCTTTAACTCTGATCTTTAAAATGATTTAATAAGCTTATAATCCTAAAAATCAATATTAGCCATACCTGTCAACAGATCGTAAAATATGCCAATACTTTTTTGTAAGCTAGAAATATCCTTTACTATTTCTTAGATGGATGTTTTCTTAGTCAGATATTCATTAAACAATTTAATATAAATTTCTTCAAATAAGAATAAGGATGATCATTCAAAAAGTAATATAAGTGATGATTTGTATAAAAGTTTCAAATTATTGATGAATATGGTTTACTTAAATTTTAATATAGCACAAATAATATATTATATATTGGCCTAAAAATTAAATAAAATGTCAGCTAGTAAATTAAGTTCTTTCGTAAAAAATATTAGTTTTTTCTATTTTAAATATAATCAGATTATATTTAAAATCAAATTATTGAAAATAAATATTTTATTTTGGTTTTACATCCATTTTTCTAAATCATAATATTGTAACAAAAGGTACAAAAAATCAATTCCACCCTCCTTCACTAGCCCAGTCAGATACTGATGGGGACCAATTTGTTGATTTGACAGAATTCCCTATATTATGAGGTGGTGGTTGCTGATGTAGAGGTGGCTGTTGTTGATGTTGAGGAGGTGCTGGCTGTTGCATTATCACTTGCTGCATTGAGTCATCTTGCCTAGGAGGAACTCCACTACCAACATTCGCTCGGTAATGAGATGGTGGCCCTTCCATAGATTGCTGCTGATGCATATATTGTTGAGGTGGACCACCCCTTATGCCCATCATTTGTTGAGGCATTTGCATAGCCCCACCATGCAAATATTGAGCAGGAACATTTCCTGCCCCTGGGCCTCCCATATAATGTTGTGGAGGTTGGGATTGTTGATGAAGATGAATTGGAGAGGGGGGTCGATGCCAATCATCGGTATCCTGAATTGGTTGCCCATGCTGCTGTTTGATTGGAGACATCATATGAGGTGGGATATTGGGGATGTTCATATCAGGTGGTATCTGAGGACCACCAAAGTCTTTTTCTCCCATAAATGAAGCTGTAGTTGACCACTGAGGTGCCAAAAGAGAAGTTTGATCAGATATTTTTGAAGCCATTAATCCAGCATTTGCTATCTGTTCATCTTGAGGCTTTTCTGTATCAAGAATAGCTTCCTTTTCAGCCTAATTTAAAAATATTGAGATATAATATTGATATATAGATGTATTTATTTACAACCTCTTCAGGTTCTCTATAAAAGTACAAATCAGGCATAACTTCCCATGATTGATTCCGTGGGATCGTTCCTCTAAACCTTAATATCTCTCTAGCTAACATCCAAAACATTAAACCAATACAGAAGGAACCCTTATAATAAATATTTATTTAGTTTATCAAAAAGAACAATACTTTATTATTGCATGGAATTGCAATGTCTACATATTTCATAGGTGTTTCTGAATTACAAAATCCTATTACTGGGATATTAACACATGCTGCCTCCATAATAGGCTGGTGATCTACATATGGATCCGAAACTATTAAAAGAAGGGGTTCCTTAAAATTTTTTTGTATTTGATTTGTGAAGGTTCCTTAATATTCATAATACAATGTCATGAAACTTTTTTTTAAACCTGGCGTAAATCTTCCAGCTATTGGCGTGGCGCCAGTATGGGATGCAAATTTTAATATAGCTCTTTGACTTTTAACATAAGATGAAATAACATAAACATCAGCTGGGTTTTTGATGGATACAATTGCTCTTGCAGCTAACAATAATTTTTCCCAAGTTTTTCTTAAATTTATAAGATGTGTTCCAGCTATTTACATCGAGTTAATAGACATTAAAATATTGTTAAGATTACATGATGACCTTTTGAATACATATTGCTCCATCTGATAATCCAAATTTTCAGCTCCAGTATGAGCACTTACTCCAAGTAACTTCAACATATCATCTGATTTTAAAGATAATGCTTCTAATCCGCCTGACATCTTTCTATTATATATAAAATTTAAATGATCATATGCGAAATTCACCTTGTTAAATTTTTGATAAGAATATAAAAATGATCCAATTTGTTAAAAAGCTTCTCATAAATTCGATTAATTAATTAAATTAAAATTTATAATAATTTTATATTAAATAATAAAATATGTAGCATATAATTTAAAAGAAATATTTAAATATTTTTGAGAGCATTACGTGTTTTTATAATTTCTAAAGTGGATATGAAAATAAAAGTATAATTATTATATATCAATTATATTTTAAAAAAAATGACAACTAAAATATCTAGCATTAAGAATATTTAAAAAAAACATGTCTAAAACAATGAGTTAAAACTATAATGCAGCTAGTATGTTTTTATTTAAAGATAAAAAAAACTAGTATGTAGCACAAGCAATTAAATAAAATATACATTTTATTTGAACATAAAAAAGCATACTTATTCAGAGTTGAACAGGTCTAATGGTTTAGTACTAAAAACATTGTGGGGGGGGGCTACTGTTTTTTATAAATTATATAAAAATATAATGTATATAAAATTAATCTTTTTTTATTTAAAATATGAATAAACACTTTATGTTTTAAGAAGAATATAATTTAATATCACCGAATCTTACAAATTAAAATACATATATGAATTTAAAAATTTCCCATAAATCTGTCATTTCTACGTTTTCTTAGGGTTGTATTTTTTTTTAAAAAGATTTCATTCGCCCGTGATGATTCCTTTCCATATTTTGACACATGGGTATATTCCGATATCCAAGGTCAAATTTATTAACTAAAAAATTATTTATTCATAAACTCATTCGTTTACCTGCCATAAACAAAATCATATGATAAAAGTCCTTTTCACGACAGTCGGAAAAAATATCCACACAGTTTAGGAACTTTCTATATTTTTCATTACGAATTTATTCATCGATATATTGTCGAAGCCCATTAGCATTTAATTTAAATCTTTTTATTTGTTTTTTACCCAATCAAATAAAGGTTCTTAGGCAAATTCCTTTTTGAATATATCAGATAGAGTTTCTAAAAAAAGTATCTTTTTAAAATTTATTCAAGTAATTTTCTCGTTTTAAAAACTATCCATCATACAGGACTGTATTTACTAGTTTTGGATTTATTTATTGTGTTGTTAAAGTAGTTCTAAATTGAGGAACATTGATATTTATCTTCAAACAGACAATTTGAAGTTATATGTCGTGTCTAATATTTAGATTACTGTTAGTAACATCTAGATAATTATCACCAACTAAGGATTATTTGTTATTTCTGGCTTAAATAATCAAATAGCCAAGAATTTAACTAGAATATTTTAGGAGTAAAGGAATTTTTGGAGGTGGTTTGCCTACAATGAATCTCTGTCATGTAGTCCTTTTTTTTATATAAATGTTAGTCCATAAATAAAAAAAATAGTTAATTGGCAAAAGGACACTGAAGAACCTGATAAAAAAATATACCAATATTATTTCTTTTAAGTAAATTAATTTATCCTACCATCTAACAACTTACCTATTTGAAAATTTTATTTAAACTTTTAAAAGATTTTGTTAAAATTGGACTATTTCTTGCCTGTAATGTTGTTTAATCGACGAAATCCTAAAATAATCTATAAAATTTGAACAACCTTGAGGCATGAATATGTTTTATTTCAGATTGAGCCATCCTATAAGTTTAAACCTCGGTCGGGGCCGAGAGTTTTGGCTTAAAATTCCATTTAGCCTTTTTAGAGTTGAATCAAAACCTGTTAAAAATGCAACTTTTCATCATAATTACTAGTTGGTGGTGAACCACTCTATAATAAAATTCTTAAAGAAATATTGGAAAATAAAACATTTTGCTTCTCTATCTTTTATGTGGTTGTAAAAAAAAATAAAAAAAATTTTAATTTAATTTTTATAACAATAATAAGGAGAGAGGGATTTAAATTTTTGAACAAATATGAAAACATTGAAAGGGGTTTAGCCCCTCACAACACACCCCTGGACAAATCCATAAGATAAGGAAACTAGATACATATTCTTAATTTAAAATAGGAAAGATAAAAAACAACAAAATTAATATGGGAATCCACAGTAAGGTGTTATAAAGCCTGATTTGAGTCTATTTTTTAAAAACGGCCTGATTAAGATTTTAGGCAATATTATGCAAGCCTCGAGATTTGGTAAATAGAGGTTCAAACCTTCCTGCCATCTATGAGCAAAATCTTCAGGCTTGCATAATATTATCTAAAATGTTAATAGAGCCGTTTTTAGAAGACCCAAATCAGACTCTTGCACTCCACGGAAATTTTTTTAAAAGGGAAAATTGAACTTTATTGAGCAAAATATAATAAAATATCTGTATCTCAGAAAATGAAAGATACAATATTCTATATGAATCTTATTTAAATTAAAATATATAGAATACAAAATAATTATTTTTGTCGCACATATAATAATAAGTTTCGTAAATAAACGAGCAGATTTTTAAATTCAATTTAGATTCATAGTTTAAATTCCATTCATAATTGGGCAGTAACGCATGTACTTGTATTTTAAATACAAATACTTTTTTTATTTTATAAAGTATATAGCATTTGTTTAAATCCTAAAAATAAAAAATATTTTGTATTTATTACGATTTCACGATTTTCAGGTGAATACAAATACTTTTTTTTTATTATAAATTGAATTATAAAATGTAGATCCACATTTATTTAAATATAAAATTTATGACCTGAATTAGAAAAAAAATTAACATCTTTTATTTTTAATCCTATTTTATATTATTTTATTTTTAAAATGTTATCGAAAGTGAAAATACAAGTTTTTTTTGAAGAATAATACTTTATATATAGTAGTTGAAGAAAAGGAGTTTCTATATTAATCTATTATGTTAATAAGATATTTTTGCGTGGAATCTGTGACTAAATAATTAATAAAAGCCAGTAATCCTTTCAATTTACTAAACAAGCCTCAAATTTTAAATAAAAATTTCCTTATACATAATTTTTAATGATAACCGATCTAAACCCTATAAAAAAAATGCTATGAGTTTAATTTAACTGGAGTTTCAATAAATAAAAAATTTAAGAGTGCCCCTATAAAGGGTGGACAATCGGCCTCCAAAATTTTTATTTTGTGCCGGCCTAGCGGATACTTTGCCCACTTGCCCTGTCGTATCAATTCTTTATCATGCATACACTAGCAATCTTATCTTTCACTGATCGAACGCTAACTTGATTTCTGCGAAATTGAGAGCCATAGTTCACAAATTATTCTTTCAGATTTGTCTAAAGATCTAAAAGTTTGTAGCCTATTTTTATGCCAACTACGAAATTAAGGGCCATATTTCATGACTTTTTCTCACACGTTTTTCTAAAAATTCAAACAAAAGTTTTCAATTCATTCCATACTTGATAATACGGTAGACTTAGAACAGGGGCCTTTTTTGGAAAACAAATTATGTAGTTGGAAGTGGTTTTAAAGTTTGTTATACAACATGCGTCAAATTTTTTATAGGAAATTTAGGAATGAAATTTGGTGCCTTTCAATTTTCATTCGTTATATAATTTTATCAGTATAAGATGCTCTTTTGACAACATTTTTAATTTTACAAAATTATAGTTTGATTTAGGAGGGTAGTAAATAAAAGGTGTTTAATAATAAAAAATTTCTAATATTTTTAATGGAACCCATCTACCACGTTTTTGAAAGAATAAATAATTGAAAGACTTGAATTATTTTTTTTGTCAAATTTTAGTATTTATTATCTCATAAATTTTGTGGATATTAAATTCCATAAATTCTTTAAAAACAATATTATATTTTCTATTAATTTGTCTAGTGTTTGCAACGGTCCGATCCGGTCTTTTTTTCTAAAATGGGACCGGACCGATGGACCGTTAAGTCAAATGAGACCGGACGGTGGGACCGTCGGTCTGGTCCAGGCGGTCCGGTCCCACCTAAAAAAAATTTTTTATAAAGCTACAAAAGTTTTATTCTGCATTTAAATTTATTAAAAATGAATAGTTAAACTACCCTATTAATATTTCAATTATATCATCAATTCATTTTTATTATATTATACACAAATGCCTAATCAAAAGAATATTAAAATACAAATTTATTTAATATAAATTATATCAATATGAATATGATTTACATAATTAATTAATTTTTTTGATATATATTTGGTTATAAAATAAATTGTATATAAATAATTTAATTATCTTCTAAAAAATTAAAAATGATTCCATTTTTTATCCATGATTCAAGTGCCATCATAGATTGAACCATCTTTGGATTCATTCTATTGCGTTTTTTAGTTATTTTATCATTAGCTTTAGAAAATATCCTTTCACATGCTACTGATGTAGCCTGCTGGGGGAGATAGTCCATTGCTATTTTTGATAGAACTGGAAATCGATATTGATTCCCTTCCCACCAATCTAGTATATTGGAATTAACAGGACATAAAATATCAGATAAATAACATTGAATTTCAGTTATATCCTCTATCTGAGCTATCTCCTCTGATGACCCAGTTCCCATGAGCCTATCCCTGGCTATTCTCTTCTTTCACCCCTTGAAGAGTGTGGCATTTCAATAGTACTAGTAGTATCAACTTCTATGATTTCAATATCCATTTCTAAAAATAAAATATAATACTACCTACCCTACTAAATTAAAATACTTGAAGGCGATTAAATTTAATTGAATGAAACGGAAGAATATAAAAAGATTTAATGAAACGGAAGAATATAAAAAGTAAACGATGAATTAGATATTATAAAGTGTTAGGCAATATTTTATATGTTCATGTACATACACATTAACTATAAAGCAATTTATAGTAAACTTTTATATTCTTTAATCGGTCTTCGGTCGGACCGGACCGTGGGACCTTGTTGTTGGACGGGACCGTCCCATAGAAAAGTCTGATAAGACCGAACCGAACCGGACCGTTGCAAACACTACTTTGTCTTTTCATTACCGTCTCGATATAATTTTAACAAATTTTTATAAAATCTTTTAAATAAAACCTTCAAAAATTACAAAAGGGCTAGTTGTATTCTTTTAGACCCCACTATTCATGGGCAGAAATGTCTTGAACAAGAAAACCCGAACAAAGGTAATTCGGACAAAAAGACACTGAAAAAAATTTATATATACTGATTAGATGACAAAAATATCCCAATTTTAGAAATTTGTATAAATATATACTTATAAAAGAGGTAATTTTAAAAATATTCACACCCTTTTATAATCGTTTCATTTTTTTTCAAAATTGGTATATTATGGTCCGGTGTCTTTTTGAACCAGGTATATTTGTCCAGGGTCTTTCTGCCTGTGATTCATAATTTAAAATTTATAATAGGTAAGGGTGATTACATGAAGCACACTTAGAATATAAATTAGAATTTTCTTTGAATTAATGAATAACGAACAACAGCCTAACATCATTAATATTAATTTTTTTTTATCTGATAAAATTTAAAAATTCATTTTATTCATTATCTTATACAATATATAATTATATTATAAATATAAATGTTATTTTATATAGTATAAAATTATAGTATATAGATCATTTTGAAAAACACGAAACCAAACAATGGCTCACAATAATTTCAGTTTGTCGCCATGAACAGCTGATTTTATGCATGAGATGTATTTAGAATAATTTGGATCCTTCGTCACGTATAAGCATTTATTGCTCAACGATTTTGTTAAATTGATATCGCCAAATTTATAGTTAGAATTAAAACATTTCTTCTTTGAGTGTCTGAGCAAGATGTTTCGATACGGCTTATTGTGTCTAAAAAGTTTATGTGTGTCAGGGATGCCCGATTTCCGGTTAGATTTATGATCAGCTATGAGTTTAAATATGTTGATCTGGCTTGATTTAAAGAACTTTTTGGTTTGATTCGATTTGTCGTTAAAACGTGATCTCCCGGCAAATAATCTAGCACACAAATTATTATTAAATACCTTTACCGGTTGAAACGAATCAGAATTTTTCTTTGTAGTCATAATTTTATCGCTTTCCATTTGCGACAAGTAATAAGGGTTTACCAAATTTCTATCAATTTCTCCGTTTCCCATCAAACTATTATAGGACACCGCTTCTAGGCGTGGGGATTTGAGTGGATAGGTCTGGTATATAATATTATCTTTTTGAAACTTTGGTGCTCCTTCTACGTCGCTATTTATTTCGTTAAAATGAGAAGAACCCTTTTCGTGTATAGTATTGCATCTTTGATGCATTTCACCACATCTCATAGGTTTCACGCTTAGCATAGAGCTTTCCCTATTAACCATCATACTACAATTGTGAATGTTATAGGGTCGATTATATTTTTCATTGGTGTAAAGGTTCAAGCGATCACCGTGATTATATTTTTCCGCCCCTTTTCCGGTCTTCTTTTTACTTCTTTTCAGCGTTATAAATACGAATCGTCCATAGATTAGCGGATTAATGCAGCTATTCGATACGGCGAATAGAAAAAGGGCTTCTTGGATATAGATATTCGTTTTCGATGCTTTCTCTGGATCGAACCTATATAATAGTGATACATCTTGTTATCAGTCAAATAATAATATTTTATTAACTATATTTATTTTAATCAGAAATACAAATAAGCTAAAATGGCAAACAAAATAAATTCCAATGTGTGATATCATGAATTTAACTAGCTCTAAATTTTCGTCCAAAAAAATAAAATTATTTAAGCGTTAAGATTTTGCCAAACTAGGGTCGAACTTTTTTGCCATCCTTTAGAAAAAATCTCATACCTTAAGTTAATTTTTTTGTTAAATAATCTTGATTTAATCCTTTTAACAACACACGTAATAAATCTAACATATAATGCTGCATTCACAGTTACGCGAATTTGCGGTGAAGTTATACAAAATATGTGAGAATTCGCAATTAAGTATGCAAAATTTACTATATTTTTGTATAATTCGTAGAGAATTCGCACTAATTGTGAATGCAGGATAAGGGAATAACTATATTTATACATTTTCATATAGCAGAAATTTCAATTACGACAAAACACCTAATTCAAACATTAATTTGGCAAAATATTATAAGTTATAAATAATACCAAAAAAGCATGGCCATAGTGTAAAATGGTGTCCAGCAAAACACGAAGGCTATAATAATGTAAATTGTCAATTTTAAGTTTTTGTTTTGAGCCCGTTTTATGATGCTAAAATCGAAATGGCGCGTCATAGTTGAAGCGGGAGAATTGCTTTGTGAAGATTTATTATTCGAGTGGTCCATGTATTTTTTTGTCAATTTTCTAAATCTACCATTAAAATTTTGAGTTTGTACATTGCCACAATTCATATCCTTATTTATGACTTTAATATTTTTTCCGTTCTTTAGAGTAGAATGTTCAATTTTTATCAATATTTTGGATTCGCGTCGAGGCATAGAATGAGGTAATGTTTTTATTTTCATACTAATCGATGAATTTTTATCTATTTTTTTTTTATATATACAAAAAAAAATTAATTGATAAATGCTTTATTAAATTGCAGTTTTTTCATATTGACGATTTAATTTAAACACATGCATATATAATTATAATCTTTACAAATGTACTACAAAAGAAAATAATTATATATGCATGTGTTTAAATTAAATCGTCAATATGTTACATTAAATCATCACAACACTGTATATACCTGGTCCGGGCAGGGCCTAAAATTTTTTTAAAAAATAATATTATCCTGACCCTGTATATTTTAAAACCTAATATTTTAAATCGCCATTATTAGCTAAAAAAAATTAAAAATAATATATATATATAACCTTTTGTTCCCAACGCGCGAGTAGATTGATGCATCCTATATAACACACGCATGTACAGCACGAAAATGATAAGTAGCGGACCTCCGTACATGGCCACCATACAAAATATATTGTAAGTCAACTCCCGCGTTTTGTTCGCGAAGAAATAAAAAGTTACGCATTGCGTGAAGTCCGGTTTATCAGGATGTCTTGTTACGTGGAAAATTATACTCTGATAAAAAATAAAATGAAAAAAGAATATAAGTATTAATTTATTGAAGGGGGGGAAATAGTAGATTCTAGAAGTCTGCTATTAATTTGTAGATAATTGGCAGATGGATAAATTTAAAGGAAAACAAGGACGGGCGAGCAGGTTAAATTTATTTTAGGTTAATGGGCAGGCGTTTGATAAAATCCGTCCAATTCAGACCTCTATTAGATTCAAAATAATTATTATCGAAAAATTGATCTTAATACGCAGGCGCAAGGTTATTTCGTTATTTTTTTTTTATTTATCATTATATATTTTATTTCAATAAAATCGGGGACCTGCCGAGTTCCCATTTTGCCTTCCCCTTCGGGGTTTTAATCTAAGAAAATATTCCAGCTCCCAACTCGGCTCGATCTTAATTTTATTTAAATGTATTCTTTTTAGTTAGGTTTTTTTTTTCACTTAGTTGTTTTTATGGATCAGGATTTCGGGGTTTTTAAATATTTTTGGTTGAATCATTTTTTTTTAAAACAATTGAAATTGAAATTAATATATAAAGGGAATGAAGGTTAAAATTCGAAAATATAATTTGATTTTTTAGGCTTCCCTTTATTTCATTTCTTTAGAATCCTACCAGCCTGGCCTGCAGATCTCTGATTGAAATATATTATAGTAACTTTTATTACGTATACGTTTACATGTAATCTCGATCGTATTATTTTGATCAAGAGATTATGAAATAAAATTCTATATAAATAGTAGATATTTCTAATTTAACAAGTGTATATATATCTGTTTTTTTTTTATTATAATGTTGTGATGTAACAATATCCTAATTTTTTTTTTCTCAAACTTAAATATTTTATATAAAGAAGTGTATCGGTTCAGTCTTATCGGTCTTAGACTAAAAATAGACGACCAGGACACGGATGACCAACCTGTCATTTTAAGGATTGCTGTTTAGTTCAATCTTTAGATTTCTGTCCGAAACAAAAATAGGATGGTGACCTATAAATATAAGGAGATAATAAAACAAACTTTTACAAATATACTTTCTCATCTAGGCTCTAGGGAGAAAGAAATTAAAATAATTTTCAATTTAATCAAAATTTTTGTGTGCTACGGAATATTATGGCAATTGATAATTATAATATATTTTGCCAATTTAAATAAAGTAATAATTCACATTAAAAATATCGATTTTTTTGTTCAAAAATAGTGTGGTATTTTATTCGAAGAGTCCGTCCTTATTATATTGTATTATATAAATGTATATTATAATTTAAATATGAATATGGAATTACTGTATTTAGTTTTTTTTTTAGCCATAAACATAGATTACTTCCATTTTTTACAATAGTTGATGTAATTTCGGCAAATGATTATATAATTAATGGATATTATATTAACCTATAGAAGAAGAGCAAAAAAAAATGTTTTTATAACTAATCCTTATATTCTATTCAATTTATCATAATGACTTTTATTATCTAAAAAAGCTTTATTTAAAAAAAAAACATCACGTCCTATCAAATTAAAAATTTATGAACAAATTATATATAAAAAGTTGTTATCCAAAGTTTTATAATTTTTTAAAAAAATAACTAATAAATTTATAGAATTGCTACAATAACAATTTGATAAGAAAAAATTGTATTTTTACCTAGCTATATGTGGACGGTCCTGTCCGATGCCCGACGCGATGTGGTAAATTTTATCCGTTCAGGTGGATAAAATAATTTTAGACAAGTTGTCAAGTTCGGCCCATAATGATTTTTTATGAAGAAAAACGACATATTATTGTTTAATTATAAGCCTTAAGAACATTTCAAATTCGACCGGCCTGAAAATCATTTTGCCCTGGGCCGAGCTAGGCCGACCTTAAGAAAGTACAATGTAGCATTATTACATGGCTCAGCTTTCTAAAGACGGTTTAGTCGTCATTGAGTAATTAATATGATAAAATTTAAATAAATTATATTTTGGGATTTAATTTGTTTTTCCCAGTTCTAATTATTATGGATTTTATAAATTGGTTTATTATTTTTAATAATTTTTTAAGATAAATAAAATGAATTTGATTTAAAATTTATTTTTTATAATATTATACAAATTGATAATTTTATCAGATAAATATGCTTAATCGGGTTATGAGTGTTGCCAAGTCTAAATTTTAAATGTGCTGAAAATTTATTATTAATTTTAAATAGGGCTCCAATTCGACGTTTCCTTTGTTATTTTTACATTTCTTTAAGGTATTTTTGTTATGTTATACCTCGCCACTAATTCGCGTTAACTGTGATTTTAAATTGAAATCCGAACCGCAATGCATATTGGTTCAGGTATAAGTTCAGATAAAAATAATGATTCATTTTATTGTAAAAAATAATAAAAACGTTTGGTTAGAACTATACCTGTTAGAACCTTTTAGCAAAACTTATTACAATTAGGGATAGTAAGAAGTATATTTTTTTAAATTTTATAATTAAAACCCTATACATAAAATTTACTTTTTTTATTATTATTATTGCAAGATAATGGTTTGCAAAGTTATTTTTTCGCAACCCGAGCCCGACTAGAGCCCGAGCTCGAAATTTAAAAATTTTTTTTGTCCAAGTCCAACTCGAGAACACATTTTTAGATCCAACACGACCCAAACCCGATTAAAAAAAATTTATAATTTGAGTTTAAATATTAATTATCATTTTTTTTGTTTTAAAAAAATATATATTAAAAATTTACATATAAATCATATTAAAATAAAACATGAAAAATATTTCAAAAAAAGAACATAAATATTAAATTTAAAAAAGCAGCTTGCCCAAAGTAGCAAGATGATGTAGCTACGATGAGGACAAAGTGGTTATCACCAGAATATTTTTGGTATTTTAATAACTCAGACCTAAGAAGAGTCATGTATATTAGAAGGGACAAGGAGGTCTATCTGAGAAACAATTAAAATTAATTAGCGCAATTTTTTTCAAAATCTTCATAGTCCAAATTTTAAGTTAAAATACAATCGAATTTAAAAATTATTGTGATTATATAAAAAATTATTTGCATGATATAATTGTTTGTATAGAGTAGAGGTCCCGCCCAAAAAATTTTTCGAAAAGGGGTAGGCGGGCGGGCGGGTTAAAAAATTTGAAACTATGGGCGGGCTGGGCGGGCGGATTAAGTAATTTGAACAATGGGCGGGCGGGTTAAGGAAATTTAAAATTTTTGTTCAAAAACAAACTAAAAAAATAATTGTTTAAATGAACTATAATAACTATATTTCTTTTTTTATTGTACCTATCCATTTTTTAAGTGGTGAACATTTACCTAACTATATTATGTAATAAACACAAACAATAAAACTTTTTTCTTAGAATAAATAAACATTTTTGTCTATTAAAAATTTCCTTTTATGGGAATGTAACAAAACTTTTCTCTTAAAATTTCCTTTTTTTGGGTTTGCAATCTGCATTGTATTATTTTATTTTAGTAATTATTATTTTTGCATTATAATTACATATAATATTAATTTTACATTTATATTTTTTTCATAAATATTCAATTTGATCAAATAAATTGTCCATAATTTACATTGATTATTTTTATACTTATATTAATTTCCTAAATTATAAACTTTTTGTAGAGGAGTAATGAAATATTTTTATTAGTAAAAAAATGAAAGAATGATGATAATTAAATTTTATAAGCGGGCTTGGGTTAAAATTTTTTATAAATAATGGGAAGGCAGGTAAAAAATTTTAGACTAATGGGCCGGCGGGCAGGTAAGGAGTTAGACAAATGGGCAGGCAGGCGGGTTAAATTTTTTAAAACATTGGATGGGCGGGCTTTTGGTCCAAAAACCCGCCTAATGCAGACCTCTAGTATAGAGTCTAAAAAATATAATAATGAACATATTAATAATACATATCAATATCAGTTATTCTTCTAATTGACATTTTTGTTAAACAAAAAATATTAGTATTATTAAGGATATTTGTATATTTAATATTTATTTTTTGGGTCGGGTCAGGCTTTGGGTGGAACACATCTTACAACCCGTTCAAAGAACCCGGGGGAAAATTTTTCAATGAGCCGCCTCGGGTTGGCTTTGGCCAACCCCGTGCAGACCTCTAATTACACGTACAAATATATTATACTTTGCTAATTCTAACAAATAAATAGTATTTATCAATCTATAATATATTTTCCCTAAAAATTTATACTATTGAGACATATACATTTAAAATATTTATCAAGAATATCCTCTGTTAAATAATACATTATATAAGGAGAAAGAATAAATTTAATGGTTAAGAACATATCTATTGGGTAACTGGCGACGTCAACTAGCAATACACCAAAATATCATTTAAAATAATTAGGATATCAGAAAGTCCTAACAGGTTCACACTGACAAATTTTTAAGTGGTTTTGGTTTCGTTTTAGATACCTGGTTATAATCAATAAATTTAATTTTTTCTATGAATTTAAAGAAGTTAATTAAAAAAAATTTTTTAATTAGTCGATAAAAATTAACGAATTTTTTAATTTTTTAAAAATTTAATTTTTATATTAATAAATTAGAGATTAGTGTACGGCACTGGTTTAATATTTCTATACCAGATTTCTGACCTGGAACGTCCATAATGTTCTGTCCAGCTTGCTCCATGAAGACATTTTGCGCGAGTAAACCCCAAACCGGCCTTTGAATCGAGTAAAATAATATATATTTTACTATTCGTACGACTACGATTAGCGAACTATTTGACTTGTTCAAAATAATAGAATACGAATAATTTATTATTCGATTCATATTTGTTTTTGAATAAGCCTAGCTTGACTCATGAAAAATTTGCGAAAGAAAAATCATAGGATCGTGTTCTGGCTCATCCTATTTCTAAAGAGTATATCTTAGTTTAAAATCGGCTAAACAGAAATAAGTTTCAAAAATAAGTGCAACCATTTTATAATCAATAAGTTTATGTATACTTAATAAAAAATAAAAAATTATTTGAAATGGTTCA